CGCACCCAGCCCCAAGCTGGGGCCGGCTGGCGAGCACTCTGATCCTAGTAAGCTGATTTTCTATCTAAAAGTGTCCTAATCCCTTCCGCAGCGGCAGCAGCGTCGGCAGCAATAGCGCAAACTATACCAGTAGCACTAGCAACAATGGCAGTAAGAGCATCAACAACGCCAGCAGTACCAGCTGCAGCGACGCCAGCCCCTGTGCGCTGTTGCTGCCCCCCTCTTTGTGCAACGCATGGTGACCCTGGCAGCCGCTGTAGCAGGGGATGTAGCTGCCCGCCAACATGTGCACTGCTGAGAAGCATGGTGTAGTACTGTACGTTGGGGCCCCAGCAGCAAACGAACAGCAACAGGAAAAGCAGCGGGAGCAGCACAATGGCGGGAGTGCCTGCAGCAGCTGGAGCAGCGGCAACAACACTAGCAGAAGCATCAGAAGCAGTCCTATGACAGAATAAGCCCAGTAAGGTGATTGGAATATCTCTTGTTGCTGCTAATTTTTCAGTAGCACCATGAGCAGGCGACAAAAGCAGCAGGCCCTCCCCAGGCGCAGGGCCCCGATAGGCAGGGCCTTCACAGCATGAACATGCATTACTATTTTGTTTGCTGCTGATAGCATCCACCAGCAAAAAGGTGACAGAAATTGCAAGCACGAAGAACTGAGGAACCAGAAGAGAAACTGAAGAGCTGCAGTATCAGCAGAAGAAGAAGCGCAACGCGTTGCAACTACGTAGCGGGGCGGTATCCCCTGATGCCGTTCTCTCCCTTTCCCACGTTATTCTTTATTCCTCTACTTGGTATGAACGGCCACAAAGGCGGGAACGTGTGCTGCGTGAGGGCAAGGGAACGGAAGGTAGATGCAGCATGCGCATGTGGCGTGGATGTGCGTATCTCAAGCTGTGGATAAGCTGGCAATGGAAAACCCAGTACATATTCAACAACTGTGTACAGTCTCGTTGCATCCGCAAAAGGGGGCTTCTCAGTGCCTCCACCAGGGACTGCCTTGAGGGATTAGTTGCAGCGAGATGCGGTGCAGCTCATTACCGACCAGCACCTTTCCGCAGAAGCAACAGTTTAAAGAGGGTCCGCCACCATCGTGAGCGGCTGAGGCGAAAGAGATAGGGCAAGTGTTCAAAAGAAGCAGATGCTCTTCTCTCCTGTCCCCAGACCTTGTTGGCACTCCGGCCCAAGGGCCTTCCGCTGCAGGAGAGGTAGCCGTTTGTACTAAGTTGCAGCGCACATCATTCCAAGTACTGTAGCCAGGCGCCTTCACATGCAGGCACAATCAAACCCCATGTTGCTGTCGGCACTAATACTGCAGACAATTGTTGTACTTCTGCTTGCGTGCTGGCTGCATAAGAAGCTTAACCAAGGCTTGATGTACCACTGGCCGACTGGCCTTGCTGCGCCCAGGCCGCGATGCTCACGCCGATTGTGGACGGGAAGGGAAACAGGCTGATTTTGAGGAGCTCGCTTCTTACGTCTTTCGGCTCTTGCAGCTCAAGTCCTACGATAACTTTGAGGGCTGTGGTTACATTAGGGATTCGTGCATTGCTGAACGTTGACTTACCCACCGCACTGTTTGGAACAAGCCTCATCCGGCGCAGCTCTTGAACACAAATTTAAGTGGCAATTATTTTTATTTGGGGTGTATTCACAGCGTTGCTGCCTAAACCCGGGAGGCCCCCTGTGCTTGTGCAGGAGGCCCCTGCATGTGCTACGGGAGGCCCCGAGAGGCCCCCGCGAGGCCCCCCTGCAACTTCCAACTTCTAGCGACTGCGCAGCCAAACGTAGTAGTTATATCTCTTTGGTATGCATTTACTTCGTGTTTCCTTTTTAGTCCCGCGACGGAGCGCCTTAACCAGCTGCCTACGCGTCGCCGCCGGCACAGCCGACAGAAGCAGCCCCGCTGCATCTGGCTGTCGTCTGCTACCCCTTCAACCCTTATCCCTAAACTCTAGCACTTACATTTCCTGCTATACTTGAAACTTTTGACTTTTGCCCTACAGCTCCCTGTCCACGCCGTGCGGATGTCCACGACATGCTGCCCGGTCCTCAGAACCTCTGCGAGGCCAGTTGGCTAGCCAAGGGCCTCAGCTGGCCTCCAGCCGTTGTTTGTTCGGACCCTTCGGGTGGAGGCAGCACGCAACCGCTGCAGGATCCCCTAAGGTATGCAGCCTGAGGCTGCCCGCTCGCAGCAGCAGCAGCAGCAGCAACAGCACGAGTAACAGCAGCCACCGCAGCGCTTAGTAGCGACAACATCATTCAAGGACTCTTGTGGTCAGTCAGATCGACATGGATGAGAATCTATCATTAGAGGCTGTGCCGCTTCAGCGACCCCACCTGTTTGCCGTTCAGCGCAGAAAGGGCGGCAGCAGCGCCGAAGGCAGCAGGCAGAACAGCAGCAGCAGCAGCAGCAACAGATGCATCAAAAGCAGTACAGGACTTCTGGCGAAATGCATGCTGCCCATAGAGTGCCGTTCCACTCATTCGAAGAGCCTTCTAGTGGGCCCACCCCTCTGCCCTGCTGCTGCGCATGCAGCAGCCGCAACAACAGCAGCAGCAGCGACCGGCTACACCGTGCCGAGACCTGTGCATGCTGCGCTGCATACATGCAACCTCCACAGCTATAGGGGAGCATCCACGTCTGTGGATCAACAGCCCCAGCGAGCCCATTTGCTTCAGGGGCCCTTCAAGGGGCCCCCTTGGGGGCCCCCTGAGGGGGGCCAATCAGAAGCGCAGAAGGCGGATGCATGCACAAGCCCAGCCTCTCTCTTTTGGAGCTCTCTTCAACGCAGAGGGATTCTTGAATTGCAACAAGACAACAAGCCGAACTGGTACTCAGCAACCTCTGCTGCTCCTGCGGCGCCGCTGACACAGCACACAACACGCAGCAGGTGCAGCAACCCAGACAGCAGCAGCAGCAGCAGTAGCAGCAGCAACAGTAGCAACAGTAGCAACCGCAACAGTAGCAGCAGCAACTGCTGGAAAAATAGTAATAGTATGCCGCAGGCATCGTGGGCGTGTCTGCGCCAGCCGCAGCAGCGCAACCCACAACAGCAGGAGCAGCAGCAACAGCAACGTGCTTGGCCTGCAACGAGTGATGGCTGGAGCTGCGCGAGATGCTGCAGCTCAACAGGCAGTCTCTTGCGAGGGCGTTTGTCTGCTGCAGGGCTTGAGGCCCTAGTTGATGGGGCTGGGAGGTCTGTTGCTGCTGCTGCAAGGCCTGCTGCACCTGCTGCTGTTGTTGCTGCTGCGGGGGACAGCGCTTCCCCCTTTGCTGCGTCGACCGCAGGAGGGCGCGGCTACGGCAGATGCCCCCCAACAGCAGCAGCAGCAGCAGATGAAGAAGATGAAGCAGCTCCCGGCAGCCTTGCAGCATCTCATTGCAACCCCTGGAGCGTACGCACTGCAAAACGACGCCCCTTAAGTGCGTGGGGCCCTAAACGAGGAAATGCTGCTTCTGCTGCTGTGCGTTGCAGCAGCTCGGGGGCCCAGGTGGGGCCCACCGCTGCGAGGCGCTCTCGAACATCATGCCTTGCTGCTGCGGCGGCCTCAGCACAACGGAGCAACAGCACCAGCTGCAGCAGCAGCAGCAAGACCACAGCAAGCACTAGAACAGAAACAGCGACAGCAGCTGTCTGCAGGCACGCTGCAGCTGGCAGCCGTAGGGGATTTATGAACGCGCAGCAGCAGCCCCATAAGCAGCACATTCCCTATTCCAAGGAGCAGCTTTTCCGACGGCTGCCGCATCTGCAGCAGAAGCAGCAGCAGCAGGGAGTGCAGCAAGTGCAGAAACAGGCACAGCAGCAACGGTCTGTACAGCATATATCTGCTCCGGCGATGCTGCATGCTGTGGAGTACGCTTCAGCAGATGCGGGTGGCTGCAACCAGCATCAGCCGCAGCGGGTCGGGCAGCTGCAGCAACAGCAGCACCGGGAACGTGGCGCATTTGGGCAGTCAGAAGGTACTGCTGGGGCTCTTTCACCTGCAGCAGAAGCAGCTGCTTCTGCTGCTGCTTCCGCTGCAACAGGGTCAACCACTGTTGCTTCATCGGACGCAGCAGTTGCTGCGGCTGCAGCAACGGTTGCTGTTGCAGCACCACCTATTGCTGCTGCGGCTCCCTCCGAAACAGCAGCGGTAGAGAAACTAGTGATACCTCTTCATGTGGAGCACAGCAGCACCGAGGAGTGTCAGCTGCTTTGCACGCAGCAGCAGCACCAGAAAACGCAGCATCAGGACCGAAAGAAACAAGAGACATGGCACCCGCGAGTGCAGCAGTTGCTGCAGCAGCAGCAACTGCTGGAGCACCAGAAAACGCAGCATCAGGACCGAAAGAAACAAGAGACATGGCACCCGCGAGTGCAGCAGTTGCTGCAGCAGCGGCAGTTGTACGCAGGCATTGTCCTCAAGCATTTCTGTCGGGCGCTGCAGCGCTCTGCTTTCCGCCGCCCTTGGCGGCAGCTGCTGCTGCATGCAGCTCACCAGCACGCATTGCAACGCCACCTGCAGCAGGCCCAGACCCCAGGGCAGCAGCAGCAGCCTGCGCAGCGAAAGCCTCCTGTGCACCAGCAGCAACAGTACACACAGCAGCCTGTACAGCAGCAGCAGCAGCAGGGCGCCCAATGTGTAGACATCATGGACGTAGACCTTCACAGCCTTTCCCTTCGCGATGAAGCCAGCAGTAGAGACGCCTGCATGAGGCTGGAAGACTATCGAAGGCGATTACGACAGCAGCAGCTCCGCCACAAACAGCAGCAACAGCAGCAAAAAGAGCAGCAGCGGAAACAGCAAAAGCAGCTGCAACAGCTCATCCAGCAGCTTGCCACTGCAGCGCAAGAGCTCAAGAAGGCTAATGACCAACAGGAGGCCCTTCAGGGGCGTCTCGCAGCAGCCCTCTTCCGGTTGCAGCAGCTGGAGCAGCAGCAGTCGCCCCAACTGCAGCAACAGCACCACCGGCGGCAAGGTGCTCCTCGCCTACTTGTCTAGAACCAGCAGCAGCAGCTGGGCTGCCTAAACGGTGGCTTCGTCGGTGAGTTGCTTCTCAAACCTGCCTTTTTTTGCTGCTGCAGTTTGTACAAATGCTGCTACTGTAGCTTCAGCTTTTGTTCCTCACATAGGCGGCTGCTGCCGCTTAGCTGCAGCAGCTACGCTGGGCCGTTATGCTTCTGCTACCGTTACAGCTGTTGCTGCAGCATCCGCCGTCGTTGCTGCTGCACTATTTGGTGCAGCAGTTGCTGCGACGGCAACACTCCGAGGCGAGGTTCCTCCCGATCTTATGGTTGTGCTTCTGGCTGAGGTGTCTGCACACCCCAGCTTGTCAGTGCAGCCCAAAACTTTCATGCTGTCCATCCGCTTGTCTCGGCTAAGAGTAATGCCTGCGTGGTTTGTAGATTACTTCGTGCTGGTGTTCACGCGAGAGATGTTGGCAGCAGCAGCGACAGGAGCAGAATCAGCATTTGCTGCTAGCACAGGCGCTGCTGCCTTTAGTGTCTATAGCAGCTGGCTGTATTACTCAGTGCCGAGGGCTTCCAACTGCTCGAGAGGCACAACAAAATATGGCAAAGAACGGCCAACCAGGGCAGGCCCCGACAAGGCTGTATTTGCTGCGACTGCTGTTGCCATCGGTACTGCTACACCAGCAGTAGTGCACTCTCTCTAGAAATTGCAACCCCCCAAACAATCTAAACAACTCCATAAAGGGGCGTTGAAAATCGTAAGCAAGCAGGCCGCTGCGTTGCAGCCACCAAAAACAGCCAAAGGATCACTGCTCAGCTTCAGCAGTAATGCACCAGCTGGTGTTGTAGCAGCTCCGCTACAGCAGGTGCTGCAGAAGCCCTGTTGCAGCTGCTGCTGCAGCGGCAGTTTAGCAATGCAGCTGGATCTGCAGTTCGTTCTTTATAGCAGACGAACTGTTATTAGCTTGGCGCTTTGTCCTGAAGTTCTTCAGGGAGACTTTCCTCTAAATGTGCAGCTAATTGACCAACGCTCCAGCACCATTGATCCAGGAGCTCAGCAGCACTCGCAGCGTCCTCCACTTCGGGCACCCTCAGCTGTACGTACACCCCAAATAAACAACTCCACACAGAAAACACACCCTGCAGCTGCGACAGAAAGAGCAGCAGCAGCACCAGGTTCAATAGCAGCAGCACTAGCAACAATGCCACAAACAGCAGCAGCAGCAGCAACATCAGGGAAGGCTCACCCGCAGCACCTTGGCTTCATCATCAATGAGGGCGGGAAGCTGCCCTTGCTGAATGACCTGCAAAGTGTATATACACCCCAAGGATGACCAGAACCTTGAGCCCCAATGGGCGGCCCAGTAATGTGCAGTAGAAGCAGACACAGCAAGATACAGGCGAGCTGTTCTGCTGTTGCTGCCGAAGCTGCTGCTGCAGCAGCACCTGCTCCTGCTGCTGCCTTCGAAATTGCAATCGATAGCAACTGGACGGCCGTAACGGCGCCAGTTGGGGAGGAAAATGCAGTAAGGTCTGCAGTCCCAGAAGCAGCAACAGCAACAGGGCGTACCTGCAGCAGCAGCTGCCGTGTGTCTTCTTCTGAGAGCCTTAGCGCCTGCTGCAGCCGGTCCAGCGGAAATGCTGAGTAACAACCAGAGATGGCTCGAAGCCGCCTCAACCTGCAGGTATGCATCTACCGCACCCTAACGCTGAACCCTATGTTCTACCCCTTAACCCTAAACCCTAACCAGATGCCTAACCCATAGTCACCGATGTCAAACCCTAAACCCTAGCCCGTCAACCTTTAATTTACACCCGACCCCAGAGACATACCGAACGGCCTGCAGCAGGGCCTTGCTGCAGTGCAAAGCAAAGGGGTCCGTCGCTCCGAGCAGCTGCAGATGCTGCGCAAATACACCGCAAGACCCTATACCATAAACCGTCTACCCTTAACCCTTAACTCCAACGCGCCATTGGCGTATATGGCAGCGGCTACAGGGAGAGAATAGGAGTGCACCTGCCAGGAATGCAAACTCCTTGCGCTTCGGCTTTAGGGTTAGCGCCAGAAGACGCACCTTCTCAACACCTGTTACATCATTGGCCTCGAACGCCGCTCGCAAAGCCTTCGCAGACTGCACTTCTGGGTCGCCCTGAAGCAGGAACAGCAGCAGCAACACCAACAGCAGCAGCAGCAGCAACAGAGTGCGTTCAGCACGCTCGGCACATGTGTTACCACCAGCAAGGAAGCAGGGGAGACTGCCGCCGACACCGCATCAGCAGCAGCATCCAGAGAAGCAGCAACATCCTGAACAAAAGCAACATCAAGAGCAGCAGCGGCAGCAGCAGCAGCCGACCTGTAAGGCCTTCCCTTCTCTTGTGCTGAATGGGTCAACAGAGGAAGCCGCCAACGGAGCCGCAAGGACAGCACGGCGTAGTGCAGCAGCTGCCGCTCTGCACGCCCGCAACAGACTAATCCTAAACCCTAAACCCCTTCCAGGCTCAGCGAAAAAGCAGAGATACCCAAGGAACGCCCTCCAGGGCTTAAGGCTCTCCTGGAGCGTTGGTTTAGGGTTTGCTGTTTGGGCGCTAGGGTTTGAGGGAGCATACCGGGTGTCGCCGACTTCCTGGTGATGACGAAATGCCGCCATTAGATGAGCGTGAATCCCAGTCCATGGGTGCTGCTCCTGCCGCTGCTGCTGCTCCTCCTCCTGCTGTTGTAGCTGCAGATCCGGGTGTATGTGCAGCTCCATCAGCAGCCGCGCCCCACACTCTCGAACGGCTGCTGCACTTCTGGGGTCTAAGGAGGCCGCTGCAAGATGCAGTGCGTGAGGCAGCAGCTGCTGCAGCTGTTTCCAGTCTCGGGTGTACGTACAGCAGAGTACCTCGGCTGCTGCTGCTTCCAGTTGCTGATGGAGCGGCAACGACGGGTCTCTGCCTGCCACGTGAACCCTCGGCAACAAGCCGTGCGCCTGCATGCAGCCCCAACTTACGCACTGAAACTACATACAAATTTTTAACAAATGCAGCAGCGTACCTCCCCTCCACCCGCACGCATTCCGGGGTCGAGAAGAGCCCACAGTAGCAGCAGCAAAAGCAGCAGCAACAGCACTAGCTCCCCCAACAAAAGCACTCGCCGATGCGGCTGAGGCCCGCGAGAACCGCCAGCAGGGCCTACGAGGAGGAAGATGTGGAGTGTCTAAAACCTAAACCCTAAACCTCCACACTAAATCGCAGGTTCGCTGCTGCCGCACCTTTGGCCATTCACCCAGCTGTACATACAGTAGCAGCAATTGACTACAGACGTGCGCCCGAAGCCGCTGATAACAACAAACAGCAACATCACCCAAACCATAAACCAAACACTCTAAGCCGCACTCCCTAAATTCTAAGCGCCAGCCCGACTGGCGGGTCCCCCGCAATCCGGAACGCTTCCGTGGTGGTTTAGGCTTTAGGGTTTGTCTCACCTTCAGCCCCTGATATTCTAAGGCGGCAACAGTAGACAGCATGAGTTCTTCCAGCTGCTGTTCGCCTTGCTGCAAACAAGAGGTTTTTGAGCTTCCCTCCCCCGCGCCAAGAGACTCTGGGTCATCATCAGGAGTTCCTTGCCTCTGCGAGAGAGTTCCGGTTTGCTGCTGCTGCTGTTGCTGTTGTTGCTGCTGCTGCGATGAAACAGCAAAGACATCGCGAAGACCGTCGTACTGTCGGATGCCCGCGCGTTTCGTGGCAGCAGAAAGGACAGCCTGCACTGCTGCTGCTGCATCTCCAGCAGCAACAGCAGGCAGCAGCTGCAGGAGCCGCCGGTAGTCCGCAGCAGCCCGCAGGAAGTTCCCTGCAGCGGCAGCGGCAATGGCAGCAACAGCAGCCCAGCAGCAACAAACAATGGAGCCACCCCTCAAGGATGGACAAAGATTGAAAGGGAGGCTTGTTTCTTGCTGACAGCTTTCGTTGAGCGTAAGCAACGGCAAAAGAAGTGCAGATACAGATGCAGCTACAGCAGCAACAACAGCAGCAGCAGCAACAGCGGCGTGTCTGTACCTTCCCTGAGGAAAAGCAGGGTAAGCGACAGAAGAGATTTAAAAGACCATGGCTTTTGAGCGGCTTCCGCTTCCCGCTGCAGCACCTCCTCAAGCAGAGCCACGGCCTGCAAGCACAGCAAGCCATAAACATAAACCCTAAGCCTCTAGCTTGACGGACCTGATATATGCGGGAAAGGAATTGATATGCAGGTTTAAAGCCCAAGGGTTCCTAGCTGAATGCATGATTTATCGAGGGTTTAGGGTTTAGATTTTAGGGTGTAGGGTTTGCCTTCTCGGGCTTAGACTGCACACAGTCCTGGGCCTCGTAATAGAGGTTTTCTATGAGGACAGAAGCCTCCTCTTCAGGGCCCCAGGGGCCCCCATCTGACTCATACTCAAAGTCATATCCGTCCTCCATTCCATGAAAAACCCTGCTGTTGCTGTTGCTGCAGCTATTGCTGCTTCAGCTCGTTCTGATTGAGCTCCTGGTGCTGCAGTTGTGCGGCTGTGGCTGCAGCTGCTGCTGTAGACGCTGCTTCAGTTCCTGCTTCAGTTTCTTGCTGCTGCTGCAGCCGTGCGGCTGCAACTGCTGCCGCTGTCAAGCCACTCGGCGTGGCCGCGCTGCTGTTGCAGCAGCAGCTGCTGCTGATGCAACAGTTGCTGCTGCTTCTGTTGCCACTGCCGTTGACTTCTCCCGCTACTTCTGTTGCTGCTGCTTCTCTCCGCGTGTGTTTGTGAAACTGCGCTTCTGCTTCGAGACTCAGCAGCAGGAATGAAGCAACATTTCACCTTTATTTCCTGCGGGTCCCGACCCCCCAGGAGTTTTGGCTGCTCGGTACGCGGGTAAGGGTTTCGAGTCTACTGTTTGGGGTTACCAGCAACAGGAAACACAACAGAATCGAAGGTGAAAGAAAAAAATATGTTCCCTTAAGTTTTTCCCCTACTACCTCTAATTTATGAGGGGCTTCCCCCAGCTTCCTTGCAGACGCTGCAGGCGGCTCCGGGGGGGCTGCCGACTCAGGTTTATTTTGCAGCTTCTCCATGCGAGGTGAAAAAGAAATTTAAAAGAATTATAATTACCTTCGAACAACTCTCGAGACCCAGATATCGATGGTAACTTGCTGAGGCCCCAAAACCCTAAAGACTTAGCACCGTTTCCCTTCTTTAGACCTCGCCTCTGCCCTAAACCCCAACCCGAAGCCCCACACCCTGAACCAGAAACCTTCGATCCTTAATCCTAAACCCTTCACCCTAAACCCCAAACTCTATACTCGAGAACCTAGCCATACGAACTGACGCTATGTTTGGGGTCTACAGTTTAGGGTTAAGGCTCTAGGGTTTAGGGCTTGAACCCCATAGCCATGCTTCTAGTGCGTACAACAGGGTAAAAAAAAAGTAACCCCCTTAGGTCTTATCGCACTCGGGTGTGTAGCTTGGGCTCCCTCCATTTGGGCCCTGTAAAGAGAGAAGGAAGAATGGCTCGGCTGAACCTTTGCATTTTCACGATCTGCATGCGTGTAAAAGCACGCGTGCAGATCGTGGGGCTTTGAGGCCACCACAATGTTGAGAGCAGCTGCAAATCTCCAACGTAGGGCCAAACAAAACCCCTAACTGGCTCGTGTTCATGCGTTTCCATACGAAGGGTTTAGGCCTTAACAAGCCCTGAAAAGAGAGGGTTTCGATATTGAGCTTGTAGCCCTACGAGGTTCGGGGGGCCCTGCAAGGGAAATGTTTCAAGATTGACGGTTTGAGCATCAAGGGTTTGAGGGGCGCGGGAAGAAGGGATTTTGAGATTGAGCGTTTGAGGCTGAGGGAACCGAGGCATGGACAGGCTGAGGGTTTGGGGTGTATGACTATTTAGAAGGCTACGAGAAGGGTGTAGAGGGAACTCTCCTTCAGCTCTGAAAGCCCTCAGAGGGCCTCCACTGCAATGCCCGCCCCAGTTCCTTGTCAGCTGCAGTCTGCGGCTGCACTCACTCGAAGCCCTACAATATGAGGCCCAAAACCCTGAAGCCTAGCGAAAAAAGCCTCCCTCCAAAATCCTAGAAATAAATTCTGACACTAGAAACACAACTTGACTGTAAATCCTAATCCAGAATCCACGCTGTAAACCCTTAACCCTAGCTTGAAACTTTTGGATGGAGCCGTAAACCCAAGTTGGGAACCTTCGTCGTGAATCCCAACCTTACTGAAAAAAACCCTGAGGCCTTTCCTGCACCGCTATCCGCTCGCCATAGGGCTTAGAATTTGTGTGAAGTGCCCTCGCGAGACTCCAAAGGCCCAAGCCCCAAATCCAGACTTGTGGGTCTACCAGCTGTTGGGCCCCGCCATATGTAATATAAAATCCATAATGAACAATAAAATAGGCATGCATATGTAAAATAATGAACGGCAGCAAGCGCATCGAGACTAGCCTTGGAGGGTGAGAGAGTTGAATGGGTTTTCTTGAGCCCTAAGGAGGCAGAAAGATAACCTGGTTCTTCCCTACCATAGGGAGCGTCTGCTGCTGCAAGCGTCGTTGCGGGTCTCTGAGGTGCAACCAAAGCAGCAGCTCTTCATACGTTCGCACTGTTGTAGTTCCGTCACCCTTTGCATCTACAGTAAAAAGAGGGGCCCCTGCAGGGGCCCCAGTAGGGCCCCCAGTGGGCCCCTCCGCACTCTGCAGAGCCACAGGAGACACATTTCCATAAGCTTCCTTTAGACGTACACACCCGGGAGTACCCCCTGGAGGGGAGACTGAAACAGCATCAGAGGTCATCTGCTGCTGCAGCAACTGCTGGTGCAGCGATGGCCCACAAGCTGCTGCAGTGACCTTTAAAAGGGCAGCAGCAGGCGGATTGGCAGAGGCAGCAACTGCAGCAGCGGCTGCAGCAGATGAGGGGCTTGGTGGAGTGGGAACCTCAGGCGCAGCAACAGCAGCAGCTGCTGCCGCAGCGGCGGATGGAAAAATTGCTGCTGCTTCTGCTGCAGCATGAGGTACTCGACGGTGAGGAAACATCTCCGAGAAGACGCAGCAGGGGACAACTGCAAGAGCCAAGTCCGGCAACTCTGCTGCTGATGCTGCTGCCTGCTGCTGCTGTGACTGCTTGCCCCGCTGCTCGTATGCCTTGTTGGGCTCACCAGCAGAGCGAATGTCCCTGTTGTTGCTGCTGCTGTTGCTGCTGTCGTTGGTGCTGATGCTGCTTCCGCTGCTGGTGCCGTTGTTGTTCCTGTTGTCGTTGGTGTCGGTGTAGCTGCCATCGTTTGTGTTGCTGTCGCCGCAGCCGCTGCTGTTGTTGCTGTTGTTGTTACTATGGTTGTCGCTGCTGTTGCTGTTGTTGCTGCTGTTGTTGCGTCTGCATTGGTGTACGGCGAGGCCAACATCCACAATATCTCCTGCAGCTTCATCAGGGTGCAGGCCCACGAGGGCTGAAGCAGTAAGGAGTTTTGTTTGTACATAGAGGCTGTCTCTCAAGAGGTCGGCATTAAACAAAGCTGGGATCGTCTCCACCGATCCCCGAAAAAAGGCCTCTGCCTCTTTGCCTCGCAAGCCCTTGTGCTGCAGCAGCCACGCAGCCTGTCTCCTGTTCAGACGCAAGGGACACTCGAAAGAGCTTCTGCTGCAGCTCTTCATAGCTGAGCTCATCGCCGGTCTTGGAGAGGGGACAGCAGTAACAGTCTCCTCGCTTGCATATCCTGCATCAGCTGCTGCGGAGGCTGCAGCGGTTCCCGAGTGTCTCTGCCGCTGCTGCGGCTCCCACTGTATGCGGGCATGGAGGGGCTGCGCTTCTTCGCTTTTCGTGGTGTACGTGCACCTAGGATCAATGATGGTTGTCGGGATTTGGTATTTGACTGCCAATTCAAACGCCAGTTCTCCTCGGCCCCCCCCGACTTCTACAACTCCACTACCCTGCCTCAGGCGTTCGACTCCGTACGTCTTTACGAGCCACTCTCCAAACACTGCGCCCCGCAGGCTTCTAGGGTACACCCGTTGCTGCTGCTGCTGCTGCTGCTGCTGCTCCTGGAGGGTAAGGGCGGAAAAGGTCCCCCTAAGTAGCCCCGGGGGAGGCTGCAGGGGCAGCAGCTCATGCAGGAGAAGTTGCTGCTGCTGCGAGTGTACCTGCAGCAGCTGCTGTTGCACCCGCCGAACCTGCCTCTGAGCCTTCAGCAGGTCGAATTGTCTCCTCAGCCTTCCGTCTCTCACGTGCAGGAGGGGACAGCTGGCTCGTGCACAGCTGCCAACGAGTAAATACATCTTGCACACCCTGGAGAGTTCCACTGCTGCTGCCGCTGCTGCTGCTGCTTCTGGTGCTGCTGTCGATGAGTTTCCTTGCTCTGCTGCGGCGTCTGCTGGAGGCTGTAGAGAGGAGAGAGCAGCACGGGGTCTGCCGTGTAGCAAAGGGATGCGCTGCGCCTTCTCTAGGGCGGCAGTGGCTGCTGCTGCTGCTGCCTCTGCTGCAGCTGCAGCTTTTTCTGCTGCTGCAGGCCTGGAGGCCCGGAGTGCCAACACTTTGAAACCCACCATTCGCATCGCCTCCTGCAGGGCTGTCTCCGCAGCAAACGGTGTAAGGCGTTCTCGCTGCAGCAGCAGCAGCACATGCGCATGCACAAGCAGCAGCTGCAGCAAGGGAAATCCTGCAGGGGGCGGCAGCGCGAAAGAGAAAACCATGGAGGCTACAACTATAGCGAAGGAGAGAGAAAAAAAATGGGGGGCTGTGCGAGGACGGGCAGAGATTGTTTGATTTAGGGTTTAGGGCTCTGTTAGGGTTTACGAGAGCAAGGGTTTATGAGTTCGTTTTAGTCTACGAGTTAGTTGGAGTTTGAGGTCGGCATAGGGCCTGCTGCTTACAAACTTGCTCGCCAGTTGCTGCAGCTGCTGCAGCTCCCCCTTTCTTTCCAGCACTCCTACAGCCTCGACAGAATCCCCCGAACGAAGTCGCCTCAAAATGCTGCGGTGTACATCCAGCCCACCCACATCAGGGGAAGATACGCTGCAGCAAAGGGCAATACTTGTCTCTGCGGCCGCTGTTTCTGCTGCTGCTGTTGGCGATGGTGGTGTCGTCGGGGTTTCGGTTGGTGTTGCTGCCGCTGTTGTCGGAGAGCCTGCTGCTACTCCTGTTGTTGTTGCTGCTCCTGTTGCTGCAGCTGTTGTTGCTATTGCATTCTGCTTTGCTGAGGCATCGCCACCTGATGAGGCTGCTGCTGCTTCTCTGGATGCAGTCCTTGTTGTTGCGGTTCCTCTTGTTGCTGCTGCTGCTTCAGCTGCTGCTGCTATTGCTTGTTGCGGCATTATATCAAAGAAGCAAAGACGACGGCCAAGGGACTGCTGACGGGTCACTATCCCCCGAACCCTGAGCAGCAAGTGCTGCATGGGGTACCCCCTGAATTCCCATTCTTGCTGTAGTTGCCGTTGCTGTTGCTGTTGCTGCTGCTCTTGCTGTTGTTGCTGCTGTTGTTGTTGCTTGTGGTGCTGCTGCTGTGGAAGCAATACCGGATGAACTGTGTCTTTAAAGTGTATGGACACCTTCTCGGGGGCCTCCAAGCAGGAAAGGAGCAGCGAGGGTTGCAGATCCACGGCAGCAGCAGTCGCCGCGGCAGCAGGGTGCCAAAGGCAGCCAGCCAACACAGACACCTCGTTTCTAGGGTTTGCTGATATGGAATTTTCTGTTGTTATTGTTGCTGCTGCTCTTACCACACCTCCAGCTGTTGCCTCGGTGCCTACTGCTGTTGCTGCTGCTGTTGCTGCTGGCGCTGCGGGCATTATTTCCACCCCTACTGCTGCATCTTCTGCAGCCCAAACGTGATGAAGTTTATTCATTTGTCTTTGTTGTATTGAGGGGCAGAGCTGGACGAATTGTAGCAGAAGTCCCTACTGCTCGCGCTGCCCTTCTGGGGACACCGCGAAGGAACTCTGTGCCTCCTCGTTGAGCTGCAGCTTTTCAGGGGCCTATAAACACCCAAATAAAACACGAAAAACATATTCAAAAAACGAAACACTCCACCGCACATCATATTCCCAAGCCCATTTGGCTTAGACCTTTGGGGGGGCCCGGTGTAGGGTGCCCAAGAGGGGCCCCGTGAAGGGCCCCTCCAAGGGGGCCCCGTGAGGTCTTTGCACGTACTGAGACGTGTGCACAGGATCCTAGTCTCCTCCATTTGACCCTACCCGTAATAATGTTGCTCCCGTTTTGTGGGGATAGCGCGAGGAAGTTTCGATGTTCCTGCCGAGTGTTTTGCAAAGGCGAGACTAATGGTATAGTAGCATCTCGATGTAGAGGATAGGTCTACTATGCAAGCTAACGCATTCACCGGAGAACGAGCAGCAAAGATCCCATCCAAGTGATACATTTAATAAAGAATAAGATAGAATATTTATGTAATAGAATGAACTGGGCCACAAAAATATTTGAAAAGTCCCCTCGCCCTCTGGTTATTGGTATACGCGCATTTCTTTCTTCGTGGGGATTCAGAAAAGCAAAAGAAGGGTCAGATCATTCCAATACATAACAGTAAAGAAACACAGCAGATAAGAGGCTGTTCAACTGCACCTCCCTCCCCAACTTGCCGTTAATACCACCAACCCGAACACCCGGCTTGGAACTCGCCCATGTTTCTGCAAGCAGCCTGCATCGATACTGCTCCACAGCTGCTCCTGCTGCACCTACGCATTCCACTGTGGGGGGTGCTGCAGTTGTACCGCCAATTAGGCACATGCATGCTAGCATCTATGCATGCATTTGAGTGGGTGAGTTTGGGTTGTTTGATGAGTGTGCTGACTCTGAGACTCTGAAATGGTGCGGGCCGCGCAGGACTCAAATAAAAGATCCTCCATCTGTAGAAGGTTAGAGCCTGCATAATGGGGAACGTTACAGAGTCTGCGCTAATGTTTAAAGGACTAGAAATGCAACATCGTCTCAGTCAAATTGGGGGCATTCATTCATAGTGGTTTGCTTTTCTTTTTTCACTTGTATGTACATTACCTTTAGTGCATGCAGAGGGAATACTAAGCCTCTCTTGCCTACCCGGCGGAGAATTTTGGGTTTCCTCTTTGTATATCAGCTGTAGATCACAGGGTGTAGAATTTAAAGAGTTACAGTAGCAACAAAAGAAACAAAAGGGAAGGAAGGGTCCTTGTGCTAAGGCCATAGAGCGTGGGCTTTATTTAGGGTTTGAGAAGGTTTGAATAGACATTAGTTCTGGCGTTGGGTCGTTGTGGGCGGCACCAATCTGAAAGCTTTCCAATGAAGTATCCTGAAAAGGCACATCTCCACTGTTTTCTCTCTTGAATAATCAAGAGTAGCGGAGGAGTCTCCTCAAGCTCTTTACGAGAGGAGACTGCCTCTCCATAAGTTAATTGCAGCACGCTCTGCTACCGCAACCGCTGCTGCGCTTCTGCTGCAGCTCCTCTCTTTCATGCCTCCTGCATGCAGACTCCCCCAGCCGTTCTAAACGCATGCAGCGATACCGTAGACAATTCTGCAGCTTCTACGGGGTTACGAAAGGTTAGCATGCATGCATCCCAACCTAAATGCATGCGCCTGAAGCTGCAATACTGTTGCGAGAATGTCTATTGAGAAGGACCTCGACAGCCAAACCTCAAACGGCAAATATAAAAGCACAAAAGGATAAAAGATTTAGGTCGCTGCGCTCAAACAATCTGCTTTCTGATGTTGCCGCTGCATGCGCTGCTGCACTGCAAGAACTGCACCAGCAGCTGCGGCCTGTGCTGTTGCAGCGGCTTCTGCAACTCAGCTTTGCCCGAGCATCCCTTCGGGCTCTTGATGTTTGCAGCCGCTACTGCCGCACTCGCTGCATTTGCTGCTGCTGTTGTTGTTCCTGTTGGCGCTGCTGCTAGGGTGAGCCTTTGTCTCATGTCAAGCAAGTAGCAACAGGTGTGTGCGCTCAAATAAAAACTCTCAGCGTGCCTCGGGAGGAGAGTGGAACTTCCGCGCCGCCCACGAACAACTGCACCTGCTACAGGGCTTTTTTTTCGCTGCTCGTTGGCTGTCTATGCACCTTTGCAGATACTCACACAGCATCTTGGAGTCGCTTCCGAGAGGGCATCGCTGTTGCAGCCGCTGCTAGTACATTTACACGGTCTTGTATGCAAGGGGTGCTGAGGCGGCTGCTGCTGCAACCATATTCACCTCTTGAGCAGCAGCTGCCGCTGCCGCTGCGCCTTCTGGGGAGCTTCTGGTTTCTGATGTTCTTACATAATGTTGCAGTTTCCAGAGTGCTGCAAACTGCGGTTCATGAACATCTGGTGGTGAAAATCAAACAACTTCTTGCCGGTCTCAAAGGTGAAGTACTTCTCTGGGACGAAGCAGCAAAAGCCGTACACCAAAAAGCCTATACCCTAAACCCTCGACTCCCAGACGAAACCCACTGCGCAAAACCCTGTACCCTGAACCCTAAGTCACACTATGCCATACCCAGGCCCTACACCCCAAACCCTCGGCCAATACTGAAAGGCGAAACCCTAAACCCTAAATCACATTCCTTAGGGACTCACGCGATGCGCAGTCAAACTCTCCATAAATGGCAATAGAGAAGAGTTCTTCACCTTGGGGACCTCCGCCATCGATAAGGACTTGACTTTCTTTCAAGAGTTTCCCGCTGCTGCTAATGGGAAAGACAATTACCTTTCCAGGCTTCTGCTTGTCGGCCATTGCGAGGTCGGCCTGCACACTCGTGCAAACCCTAAACCCTATACATTGTACCCTAAACCCTGACAATGCGGAAAAGACTCTTCCGCGACACGAAGGAAGGAACATTGAGGAGGCAGCATAACGCAGCCTGCTGCGCATTGCGCACAGTACCGCCATGCAGCGTACACAGTCCCGTTAGGGTTTAGGTTTGACGGTCTAGCATTTTGGGTGTCCGCCCACCCGTGCCTCCGCCAGCTGTCCCTTCAGAGCCAGCATAATGTTAAATCCTGTGACCTCTTCGTTTCGTGTGTCATGCACATCAAAGTCCTCCAGACGCTTCAGCGTCACAGCCTTCCCCTGGGCAGCCCACGCCCCACACAAAGCCTTAGCCTGAAACCCTAAACACTGAACGCTAGGGCCTCTACCATGGAAATACGCTGTGAATGATTTTCTTTCAGTAGTAGCCACCCGTAGTTCGATCCCCCCAAACCCTAAACCCTAAACATAAACACCAAACCCTAAACCCTTTGACAAACCTCTTTGTCAGCATTAAGGAAGCAAATGCGCAGAGGCGGTTCAAAGGACTTGTTGAAAAGGCGAAGAAATGTTGCTGCCAGGGCTGTCTTGGGCTCGCCATGTCCTTGTGACTGAGCTGTAACTCCAGGCGCTTCCGACGATGATTGCTTGTCCCCTCCCTCTAAACAGCAGCAGAAGCAGCAGCATCAACAACAGCGACAACATTGACATGCCAAGCCTGGAGGACACTTTGGAATCGATGGGGCAAGCCAGTTAAAAGAGAAGTGCATGCTGCTCTTGCATAATATATATATAATACATATATATATATATGTGGATAAATAGGTAGATATTAATATGTCTAAGTATATTTGATATAGTACATATAATGCACATTTATACAGATATTAATATATACAGTAAATATATATTATACGTAGCGCGTAGCATATATATATATATATATATATATATATATATGTATGCATACAACACCTGGTCCAGCTGTTCCTGCTCGTCGTGCTGCAACCGCGGCTTGCCGTGTTGCCGCAGCTCACCTGGCTTGGCTGGCGGATCGCAGGTGACTTCTCCATTGATTGCAAGAGCCCCCCAGGGAAAGAAGCGCACAACTTGTGCCTCAGGCATCCCGAAGCAAAAGATGTGAGGCACAGGCCCCTCCACCCCTGAGCAAAAAAAGGAGGCTTCGCAGCAACAGAAGCAGTGCCATTGCCACCAGCAGCAGCAGCCGCCGCAGCAGCTCTACGGCTCGAGAATGTGTACACGCACACATTTGCAGCACAGAGAGCGGCGGCGCACACCGTGGGTGCGCAAGCCGCAGTACTCGTGGAAATTTATTTTTCATGGCAGCAACGCCGTCAGGAGCAAGTTTAGCAGCAACAGCAACAGCAGCAACAACGGAGACCGGAACAGTATCAGAAGCCAGAGGAACAGCAGCGGTACCACATGAAACAACCTAAACAGAAGCAGCAAGAGCTGGCAGCGGCAGCAAACCTATTAGCCGTAAGAAGCCTAGCAGAAAAAGCAACAAAACAGGAAGGCAACAGCAGCTGCAGCAGTTTATGCAAGAGCGAACCTGAGAGGACCGATCCGAGTGTGGGGTGTATGCACAGCCATGCTGGCTTTTTCACGATGAGTTCAAGTTGGTAGCGAACTTGTCCGGATTTTTTCTGTTCTCCACGCAAATGCAAAAAGGCACCAGGCGACCATACGAGAGTAAACTCCAAAGGCCCAGCAGCAACAGCAAACGGCGCGAAGCCGCTGCGCTCGGGAAGCGCAGCAAAATGCACACAAGGCTGTTGCAGCCCTGGAGGCAGGCAGAGGAAACGATCTTCGCCTGCATCAAACACACAAAGAAGGAGATAAATACAATAAATGAATTAAGATTAAACAAGCGTCTGCTCAATAAACCAGCAGCAGAAACTAGGAAGCTGCTCCCAGATGCTACAACACACGCGCGTACTCCAGCTGCAGCACGCCACTGCAGCAGCAACACTTCCAGTGCCGCCGCAGCAGCAGATTTTCTATTAGAAGTGCAGCAACAACAGCTAGGTGGCTATTCCAGCAGCAAGCTGCTGGAATCGCCACCGCTGCAGCTAAAAAGCTGCTGCAACGGCCCCAGCAGCAGCAGCGCTGAAGAGTGACACCACAGCAGCATGTCTAGCAGAAAGAGCAGCAACAGCTGCAGCACCAGCAACACCACAGAGAGCAAAAGCAGCAGCAAGAGAGAACACCAAGAGATGAGCCTCAGCAGCAGATGCGAAGACTGCATGCAATTCTGCCTGACCTGCCACGATGCATAGTCGGCTGGTTTTATTTGTTGCCGCTGTTGTTGCTGCGGCTGTTGCGCCCTCTGCGTTGTTTTGCTGCTGCTCTGGTGTCGCCCAGCACTGCCAATCTCCCTTAACATCTTCCAAAAAGCACTTAATCTCCTCTGGGACCGGAGACTCTTGAAGCTGCAGTACGTTGAGAGGCCGTTGCGCATCAGCCTCCGAACGAGTGAAGGCAGCCGCATCCTCGCGGCGAAGGGGATAGAAGCAGTCTCCATCTACACAGGGAGAAGAAGAGACAAACAGAGACTGCCTATGAAGCAAATATAAATATATACATGTTATATAGATTAAGGAGGGGACAGGGTGACATTAGCTCTAAGACAGAGATATATCAATTAGGGGAGACAAGGCCAAATATATATTAACGCACAGGCAGAGGGAAGTGAATTGAGGGAGGAGACAAAGAGACAAAGTGACAAACTGGCAGAGAAATCCACTAGTGCAGAGAGTGTGAGACAAGAGACAATCAGATATTTATGAGGCCACAAGGGGCTATTAACGAGACAGACACACAAGAAGCAAATAGACGTTGTTGAAGGCACAAAGGGATATTAATGAAAAGATAAAGGGGCAAGGGATCCACTGAGGATTAGAGGCTTGAGAGACAGAAAGGCATGCACATGGAGATAAGTAGACATTAGCGAGAAGAACCGAGAGACAATACACAATGAGGTAGTCACAAGAAAATAAAGCGGCATTAATACGGAGACAAAGAGGGAACAGAGAGCAAGGTGAACGCTGGCAAGCAGGGAGGGACCGAAAGAGGCAAAGGAGATTGCTGAGCATCCTCAAGCAGACAGAGAAAACATCAAAGTGATAGACAGACGGCGGCGGAGAGAGACGGACAGCAGCAACCAGACAAACAAACCAAAAGAGACAGACAGCGACTGACAAGCAAACGGAAACAGAAGGCGACGAGCAAACAGCGCGCGCGCGCGCGCGGGCGAGAGAGAGAGAGAGAGAGAGAGAGAGAGAGAGAGAGAGAGAGAGAGAGAGAGAGAGAGAGAGAGACAGAGACAGAGACAGAGACAGAGACAGAGACAGAGACAGAGACAGAGACAGAGACAGAGAACCAACCAAACAGCCACAAAGAGAACACGAGAGAGAAGTGCAGCGAAAGCCAGTTCGAAACCCTAAACCCTAAACCCTAAAGCCCGAGCGCTGTAACAAAAAGAGAAGCCAAAAGCTTCACCTGTCCACGCAGAGGTATAGTAGAGGCGATCGTCGAAGGCGACGTCTGCAGTGGGGAGCTGCCAGTAGAGGAGTTCAGTTTTAAGGGCGATATATTTCTCTGCAAACTCCTTCAAGGGACACCCCTTTAGTGGCTGCATGCCTGCGCTCTCACCCAAACAATAGACCCCAAACCCTAAACCCTAGGTCCCAAGCCCTTTATCCTTTACCTTTAACCTCCAAATCCCAAGCCGCAAGCCCTTAACCCTTTGCCTTTATCCCTTAACCTCAAGGCATGAACCCTAAACCCTGAACCCGAAACCCTAAACCCTACGGCCCTCATGCCCCAACGCAACACAACCGCCGTTGCTGCCCCACAAAAGCCTTCATGAAAGAGGGCTAAGGATTCGACGGGAGGAAGCCTAGGGGTTGAGGTTTGGGGATTAGATATTAGGCCTAAGTTTATCGGGGATCGGGTTTAGGGTTTAGGGTTTGTAGGTTTGTGAGTTTAGGGTTTAGGGTTTGGGGTACCCAGGAGGTGTTCGACCATGAGCCCAAACCCTTGTTGAGGTCTGTTGAGTTGCAGGGCCCCGTCTTCTGTCTTAGGAACCCTAGGGGGGATATCCTTGAAGCCCTCTCTCCGAACTACCAGGGCTAAACCACTCGCCTGTACATCACTTCTGCCCATAACCTCCACAGGCAAAGAATACCGCACACTCCCCACTTGAAAGGCAGCAGCCTTCGCGTTTGAGGCCGTGAAATACTCCATCTTCACTCAGCGACGCTGCACAGAGAAGCCAGCAACAAACACCAAACCCTCAACTATAAACCCTAAACATGAAATGAATCCTGCAACAACAAATCCCTCTAAGCCCCTTCGCTGGTGCAGGCCCATCTAGAAGAGGCGCGCCGACTTCAGGGGCCTATGGGGGCGCCCTAGGCCCCAAGAAGTCTATATAGGGGGCCCTAGGGGGCCCCTAGAGGGCCCCCCGCTCTGGGTTGCCAATGGGGAATCAAGCCGTCCGAAGCATAAAGGGGCCTCAAGGACCCCCAAAGGGCACTCGGGAGCTATGAAGGCCTAGGTATGCCTTCCATACAGCCTCAAGAAAGCGAAGAAACCACACAAAGCTACAGAGGAGCAACGCGGCAAGCGGAGTTAGGCATGCTGCTGCTGCTGGGACTGCTGCTGAGCCTCCTGGGAAGAAGAAAAGGGAACCAGAGCTTCAAATAAACGCTCAGCAGCACGTGTGAGACTGTTGCTGCCCTCACGCGTGCCTACACCTTGGCGGCCAACGGACTCCCAGGGTGTCTGCACACGGAGCGGCCAGCATCGACTCAGACGGAGTCCTGGAGGCCTTATTCTCCTCGAGGTGCCCCGGTTCAGCTGGAAAGCGAGTTTGTTGCCTCAAGAGTAGCAACAGCAGCAACAACAGAAGCACCAGCAGCAGCCGCACCAGCAGCTAGCGGAGCATCGAAGGGACCTTAACGCACGGGCTTACGTTCGGTGGCAGTGTAGTGAAAAGAAGTGAGAAGATAGAGGGCGAAGAAATGCTCCAAGCACTAATTAACAATATTTTTTATGAAGAAGAGTCTTTCAGAGGATTCGAACGCCAGCAACATCAGCAGCAACAGCAGCAGCAGCAGCAGTCACCAGCATTGACTGGTTCTGGGGACAGCCCGGCCCCAAGCAACGCCGCATTTGTTTCCCAGCGAAGGCTGCGCTCAGCAAAGGTATTTCATCTAATGTTTTAAGACAATTCATTGTTATTTGTTTACCTAGAAGAATAGGAAAATCAGGGCTTCAACCAGTTTGCTGCTGCTACTGCCCACCAGCAGGAGGCCGTTGGGGCCCCGAAGGGCCCCCAGCAACGCTCCCACAGCAGCAGCACATTCTGCTGCAGCAGCACTGGCAGCCGAAGAAGCAGCTGCTGCGGCTCTGGAGAATCCGCTGGTGCAGCAGCACCTGCTGAGGGTGCTGCTGGAGCACCAGTGGTTAGACCGTTGTTTCATTGCCGTGTGCACACCTTAACACTGGCTGGCTGGCTGCTGCTGCTATTGCTGCTGCTGCTAATGCTGTTGCTACTGTTTCAGTAGTAGCATAGACCAACAGTCCCTGCAGCGGAGAGAGCATGGTAATGCCTGCTGTAGAGACGGAGCTTCCAGAAAGTCAACAAAAAACAAACAACTCTGCACATTTTGCAGCTCGAAGACAGACGCCAAGACCGCTGAACTCAGCAACCTCAGCGGCAAAAGCAGCAGCAGCAACACCACCCTCAGCTCTAGCAACAGCACCTGCAGCTACACCAGCAGCAGGTGCTGCAGCGACACCCAGAAGCAGAAGGAGCAACATCAGCAGCAAGAGCAACAGCAGTTCCAAGTGGATCCGATTCACGATCATCAGCAGCAGCTGCATGAAGAAGATGCTATAACAACAGAAGAAACCGCGGTGGCGACAGCAGCAGCATAAACGGCAACAGCAGCAGCAATAGCAGCAGCAGCAGCAGCAGCAGGTTCACTGAGTCCGATGGAAGTAGGGGAACTGCACCTGGAGCGGGCATTGGCCTCTCTTTCTCGCAGTTTTTTGTTTTTTTCTCTGTCTCCAGACTGGGCTTCTGTCGCTAGAGAAGCAGCATTAGCAGCAGAAGCATTTCATGCAGCAGGCCTTTGCTGTCGCGAAGCGAAGGCTCTGAGACTCTGCGCTCAGGCAGAACGCAATTTAGGCAAGCCGAGGGCTGCAGGCAAAGCCATGCAGAAGGTGGGGCAGCGAGAGACAGAAAGAGACAGAATGGAGATGAAGGACAGGGGGAGACGAGAGACAGAGATAGAGAGACACAAGCCGCAGATAGAGATAGAAACAGAGAGACGTACAGGGGCAAAGGAAAGAAACCTGGGGAGCAGCTCGTAGAAGAAGACAAACAATTATTTAAAAACCTGAGTAGAGACACAGGCAGTAGACAGAGAAGGCCGCTGCAGCGAAGCGAACAGCGACAAAAAAGAAAAGGATACAGGAGAACGACGAGACACAGAAAGGGATAAAGGAGACAGAAGAAAGGGACAGATACAACAGACAGAAACTACATGGAGATGCAGAGGCACTGTAGTGATTAGCAGACAGCCAGCGGGCGAAGTGCAACAATAAATGATAAGAACAGATATAGCAGCAAGCAAAGAGACAAGGAACGAGGCAGACACAGAGAAAGATATACACGAAACGGCTGTAGAGACCGAGCAAACCCGGGCAGGCTCGTATCTATCTGACGGGAAGGAGACACTTTTGTGCGGCGTTTGGTTTTCTCTGATCCCGCATGGCTTTTACTTTTCTTTATTGTTATCTGAATTTGCATTTGTGTCCGGTGCTGTATCCGTTTGCCGCTTCGGAGACAAAGGCAAAAAAAAACACAGAAACCAGCAAAGACAGGGACTTATCGCGCCTCTAAACCTTCTCTTTTGATGCTGCTTTGTGTCTGTTGCAGCTAGGCGATTTGATGATGAAGGAAAAGAAGGCTGCGCGACGCAGCAGCAACAGCGGAAGCAGCAAGAGCAGTGTTGGAGGCGCAGCAGCAGCAGCATATGAGGAGGCAATGCAATGCTACGGAGAGGCCATTTGCTTTTTTCGTGCAGCAGGGGCTGTTGACCTGGCGGTGCCGCTGCTCCTGAAAGTTTCTGCAAAACGCGAGCAAGAGAAAACAGACAAAGGGTTTGGTTTATGTGCTGAGGCATATGAAGAAGCCCTCCATCTCCTAATCACCAAGCACGACCTGCAACAGGCCGATGAAGTGTACAGGCACTATATCTGTAGTCTCGTAAGATCTAAACAGCTGCAGAAAGCTCTGTCCATTGTCTTCAGACGTATCGAGTGTCTGTACACCCTGGGAAGGCTCGAAGCTCTCCACAAATGCATTTTAACAGCTGTCTTCCTTTTTCTCGAGATGGGACAAACAGCCCTTGCAGACAGAACGCTCTCAGGACAAGAAGTAATGAAAGCACTAAACCATAAACCCTAAACCCTAGATATCATGTTGCAAACCATTAGATTTAACTCCGTAGCACTAAACCCTAAACTCCAAACCCTTGCGGGGCATCAGTCAAAACAAAGAACGAGATAGTTCCCCGGTCTTTTTCGTGGGGTGTTCCTTCTCTAGGTTTTGTCTGTTCTCGTCTCTGTATCCTATGCTCCGGTTTCCCTTCGTTATGAGGCTTTTCTTGTTTCCTTCTCTATGTTATGCTTGGCTTTGCCTTGATTTTTTGTGCTGTGTCGTAAGGCTTTATTTGTTCTGTGATTGCCTGCGTCTTAAGGTTTTATTTGTTCTCTGATTGTCTATGAAGTATTATGCGTCTCTGAAGTGTGTTCGCTTGTCTCTCTGTCGAGCCTTTGTTTGTCCTCGTGTTCAGGTTTTGTTTCTCTCCCATGGGGGCTTTTGTTTGTCTCACTTCTGCGCCGCCGTTCTATGTCTTCATGCTTTGTTTTTTGGTTTTGTTTATCGTTGTCGTGCGGCCTTGTGTTTCTCTCTCGAGGTTTCGCTCGTTTTTGCTGTGTTGTTCCGTTTTTTTGTTGTCTCCTGGGAGGGCGTTTTTCCTTATGTCTTTTTTCTTCAGCTTGTTGTGAAGCTGATAAGCGGCCCGGAAACACTGAAAAGATGCAGAGGGGAGAGACATCTTCTCGTACTACTCCTCCCTCTCCTGCTGCTTCCGCTTCTGGTGCTGCTTCTGCTAATGCTGCTGCTGCTGCAGGCTCTGCGCAGCAGCTTTCTGGGGAGCCCGGAGTTTGCTGCTGGGGCTGCTGCAGTGGACGCGTCGAAGGTGGGAGACAACGTGCGCCTCGCTGAAGCCCTCGAAGCTCCTGTCTTCCGTTTATTGCTGCCTCCTGTTGCAGCGCTAGCAGCACAAAGAGCAGCTGCAGTGAGATGCTGCAGTGGAGCAAACAGCTCCAGAGAGTTCAACGAAATCGGGTTCTCTGGGGAGGCAATCGATCTGCTCCTTATGAGCGAGACGCAGGCCCTTAACCCCACACCCTGAACTGTAAACCCAAAATTTCAACCTTAAACGCTAAAAGCATGAGACATGCTTGCCTCCAGAAATTAAATTCCAACAACCCCACCCAAGAACGTTTTAACGCTCCGTGCACGAGGAACCGGAAGGCGATGCCTCCCCAGGAGCAGAGGGAAGGCAGGTCCTTTCTGAAGGATTTCAAGGGTAAAATATGGTATTTAATTTAGATCAATATACTGAAATTCAGAAAACAAAATCCATCATAACGGAACCAGTAGTAGCTTAAACGATGGAGGCTCCCCCAAAGCCGGTACGGGCTCGTCAGCGGTTACAGCAGCAGCAGCAGCTGTACCTGCAAGCGCCCTACGGCTAGCTTCTGTATTTTCTTGATTAATTTTTGTGGAAAAGTAATTAAACCCTGGGGTCGACGCGTCTTTTCTTTCAGCACCCCACGGCTCCACTTCGCGGTCCACTGACCATTGCTGCCTCCCTTATACCCTATTCCCATTTCGTTTGAATCTTTAAGCCCGTCGGGGAGATAAATATGATGATGATTTTCATGCGAAGGGGCGGGTCTTTCTTGCAAAAATGACTATGATTACAGCGAGAGCACTAGCCATAGCGGGTGCTGTTGCTGCTGTCGCTGCTGCTGCTGCTGCTGCGTCTCCGGTTGTAACGGAAAGACACGAAGAACCAGCAGCAACAGCACCAGTGGACATATCTCCGGTGCCATGGTGGGGTATTTCTAACAGGGACCGTCTTGGTCTGCCTACACAGGCTGGAGTGGTTAAGCAGCCGCAACGGAGGGCAGTCATTATTGCTGCAGGTGTTGCTGCTCTGGCTTCAGCGTGTACAGTGTTTTTCTTGTTGTTGTATTGCAGCTACCTGCTGAGGATCCAACGCTCTTCAGGAGTTTCCCCCCGAACGCTGGCAGAAGGAGGGTCGAGGGCATCGTCTGCTGCTGGAGATGAAGAAGGAGAAGGAGCAGCAGCAGCTGCAACACCACGAACAACGGTTGGAGCTTGCGATCCTCCGGGGCCTCCTTTATTGAGTGAAGGCGCGAACGTCTCAGCTGCTGCAGGAGTACAAGTAGGAATTTTGACTGAAATTGTGCAGCGCGGTGGTGGGTTGCCTCCCGAAGACCTGGACGACATTACAGATATGTTGAAGGCATTGAAAGCACTTTTGAGCTTAGTAGGGTCAAAGAGGGGCATGATTTCAGGGTTTGAGAAAAGCCTGCAAGAGGACATTGAAGAGCTGTCTCGAATGGAACAATCCCTGGCGTCAGGGACCCTGTGGAGTCCTTTAATGCTGCAGATGCAAGCAGACATTCAAACGGATAAGGAGCGACTAGAAGGCTGGAAGGACGAACTGAAAGTGCTGCAACAGCATTTGGGAGATGGCACACGTAAAGCGCAAAAGCTAATAAAGCGTATCTGCTCTTCGTCAGGATGTTCAACACCAGAGAGGCGACACAGCAGCGCCTTGCCCCCCAGAAGCAGGAGTAGTGAGAGCCGCACCAGTAGGATAGGGAGGAGCTCCAGCAGTAGTACAAGCAGAAGCCGCAGCACCAGTGTGGACACGTATGGGCCTACCTCGGGGGAGTCCCGTAGAGGCCGCTCGCCTCGCAGGGACAAGGCGGACGTTTCGCAGCAGCAGAAGGAGATGGACGATTTACAGAGTATGGTGCAGGTAACGATACAGCTGCAGAAAATGCAGCTGGGGAGTGGGCAGGGGGAGGCTCAGTCGAAGGAGACGCAGGGTGGGCCGGACACGCTACGTTCTTGGCTGCAGTCCCACGGCCAGCAACAGCACCCAGGGCATCAACAGCAACAGCAACAGCAACGGGGAAGAGGTGGTGCTGCGACGGGCCCGCGGAGTGGAGACGCTCCAAGAGGAGGAGTTGCAGGCAGAAGAGGCGGGGGAGGCAACGGCAGACTCGGCAGACGTTCCTGGCAGCGCAGGGGGAGCAGCAGCAGCAGCAACGGCAGAGGGGGGAAAGGATCACCTTTGAAGACTCCTCTGGGCCACATTACAGAAGAATCGGATGAAGACAGTGGAACGACGTAGCAGCAGAAGAAGCGGCACCAACCGGATAAAGGGTTTTCGCACAGGCATCATCTGTCTGTAATGCAGCTTGCAGCCTCCCGGGCATCAGCTGCAGTAGCCGCAGTTTGTGGTGCATCTAGAAGCAGAGCTTGCAAAGGAAGAGTTGATGGGCATTAATGATGGGCAGGCTACAGGCGTTCCAGTGAGTATTGACACCGAATGTCTCTCTTCTTTGGCTAAACGCCGCCGTAGGTGGCCGAAGGCAACAAATCAGCGCACTGCTGCAGCACCTGCAGCTGACGAAACAACAGGCCCTTTGGCAAACCAGAAACAAGCTGCAATGAAGTAGGAGGCGCCTGCCCTGCAACGGCTCCCTGCCGCAGCAGCGGCTTCTTGCTGCTGCCGCCGCTGGTCCCCTGACCGCAGTAGCGCCCCCCCAGGCAAAGCAGTTACAGCAGATACAACAGCGCAGCTGCCTCTTTTGCTTACAGTTTAGGCTGTGCTGTTGTCACTTTATTTGTAGACAGGAATGAAGAAATGATGGAGCAGCTGCAGCAGCAGCAGCACCGCAGCAAAAGCAGCACCGAAGCAACCCTGGTAGCTGCTGCGCTGGGCAGCAATATCACAGAAGGGCCCACGAGCGCACCAATGTGTATCGTTTGCTGCTGCGCATTGACCTCGAAAACCCAGTTCCTTAGTGGCAGGGTTCCCTGTCCCATCTACGGCACTTGCAGCAACGGTTGCAACACAAGCTGTAGCAGCAGGAGTAGGAGCATCAGTTGTAGCAGCACTTCAGCAGAAGTAGCAGCAGCCGCAGTTGTAGGAACAGAAGTTTCAGCAGCTGCAGCATCGGAAAGTTTGATGCTTTGGGTATTTGGCTCTGGGGGATGCGAAGTACACCTATGAGTGGGTAAGGGTATCTTCAGGAATTGCCTGAGCTGCTGCAGCATTCAGCAGAAAAGAAGGCTACAAAGCAGAGCATGTTGGTTAGAATGGTGTTAGGGAAGCGGCACCACTTGAATACAGCGGGTCTGAGGGGCTGTAGCGCTGCTGCCTGGTGCTCTTGAGTGGGGGCTGATTATGCTCCGCGATGCTTTCAGATCAGACGCGAGGGGCTGGGAGCTGCTTCAGTTGGTCAGGTAGGAGCGGCGGCTGCCGCTGTAGCAGCAGCTTGATGCTGCTGCAGGAGTGGGAAAGGCCGTGCGAGGCTTTGCGGGTGGTGCGTTCCGTGTTGTAGCAGGTGCATCGTTGCATCAGCTGCAGCGGCGGGATTGAGAGACTGGGGTTTTTGTTGCTTCTGTGAAGGAGTTCACCATACCATCACCTGCTGCTGGAGAGAGTTCAGTACTTCCATCAAATTTCGGGTTTCTGTTCAAACCAGTGGAGACTGCACACTGATTTCTTTGTTCGCCACAGGGGACCGTGGCACCAGCACCAATACTCGCCGGATGCTGCGTGCCGAGCCTTGTGCTTTAGCTGGGTGCTCACGGTGTGCAGTGTACATGCAACATTCGAAAAGAGTTTTCCACGCACCTGGAGAAGACCGGAAAGGAGATAGTAGCAGCACTCAACAGTATGAAGAACCAGCGTTTCACCTCCTCCTGCAACGACTGCAAGCGGCGGCTCCAGTACAGTCTCTCTTCGCTTTCTTCTCAGCTTAGGCTCAGTAGTCCTTAGCATCACCACCGCTAAAACCAAGAACACTACTGGCGGCAACAGACAGCCGCAGCTGCAGCAACACCATCCCCAACGGCAGCATAGCGACAACAAGACCAGTAGCAGAAGGAACAGCAAAAGCAGTTGGAGCAGCAGCTGCAACAGCAACAGCAGTGACGACAGCAGCAGCGACAACACCAGCAGCAACAGAAACAATACGAACAACGGCAAGAGCCCGCAAACAGGTGCCGGCACTCCCGGGGGCTGATGGGCAAGTAGGCACTGTTTCTCTTCCAGCTAGCAGCAGCTGTTCGGTGCAATTCCAAGCTTATTGTAGCTGCCCGATGCGAATATGTGACCTTTTTTGTATTCAGTGACACCGCACAGTCATAGTACACTTCTTTGTTTTTGTGCAGCAGCCAACACGAGGAGACACTCCACCTAACAGCATAGGTGATCTGGGGAACATATGCATCTCAAGTGGTGCTACCCGTTTCCGACCTTTAATAGTAGCTTATATAAGCACACATGCAACTAGAGACTGGTCTGTAGGTGCGAGTATCACCTCTTTTGGCTCCTTCACTTCGCCGCTCATTGAATAGGGTAGCGAAGCTTCCCTGATCGCCTTGTTTGCTCCTCCGGGGGCGTTGCTCGAAGTCTTATTTCTCGTTCCTTGGCCATTTTCATACATCTGCAATCTCAAATAATGTGATATCGTTTGTTGTACATGGTGCACATGCTCTGCCCGGAATAAGCCACCGGCCTTCTTGTAGCCGAACTCCGTGGGACGTGGTGACTACCGCCACTCAGCTTATCACCGCTCAGCTATGGTGCGTAGGTGGCAATTGCGTGTAAAAAAGTAAAAATACATCGGATAAGTTTTCCTTCCAAAAAGGTTTGACCTCCCCTTCAGTGTTCAGAAGCCTGAACACAGAGGCCTAAGACCCGACGACCGGAGCAGCTCTGGGCTGCTTATCGTGTGTTGCAACACTACAACTAGTGATGGAAGGTAATCACAAATACAAGCCCAACCAAGCCCCTCTTGTTACATACATCAACACTGTATCCAATTGTTGAACACTTACGCTTATTTGGCTCTTCGTAGACAGCGAACGCGCGAGTAGGGAGAAGTCCACGAAATTTGGGCAGACCGTGCTACCCAAACCTACACGCAGCCAACTACAAAACGCCCCAGCAAATTCAAAGAGACGGGAGAATAAATGAACCAGCAAACTGACTTTACTACATATAACAACGGATTTATAGCTCAGCATATCACCCGTGCACCCCACCTACATCGCTCTGAAGAAACGATAACGTAACACTGGAGCTGCTGCCCCTGCTGCTCCAGCCTGGGCGGCGGGGATGCCTTGTGAGCCCCTGTGAATGGAAATATCCCACTAATGCTCCACAACTTAAAAGTAAATGTGCTATTTCATAGAAAGGGGGACAGTATCATAGGTTTTGCCTTTTCGTATCCCGAGAAGGCACGGCGCCCGGGTGCTTGGGGCTGGGAGCCGGTGTGTCAAGGCGGAGGGACAGTCAGACAATCATTGAGAGTTTGCAGATCTTTTTGTTTTTTTTCCTCCCAGAACAATGCATGAAAAATGAAGCGTTGTGTCTGCGCTGCAGTGGCGTTACTTCTGGGCGCCTTGGGGTCGCGGGGACAGCCACCGCTTTCGGGCTCAGCGCGAGCGCGCGAAGCTCCCCACAAACCCCCCTGCGAAAGTGCGGAAATTTATCGGTTTTATCATAATCACTTGATGGGATCTGAGCAGTTTGTGCAAGAATGTGAGAGTTGCAAACAGCGCCCGTGCTGTGCTCCAGGATTCCCCCTTAAGGGCGTGTGCTTCGTTACTGCCCTTGCTACAGCTTATCTTCTGCTACGATGTTTCACCTTCCTCTCCAACTCCAAAGTTTCCACTGCCAAACGTTTGCTTTCAGCAGCAGACGGCGACGAGAGCGGCGACAGCTGCGGACCAGCTGACTCGCTGCAATCGCGGTTGCAAACACTACAGCAGAGTTTGGTGCAACTGCACACGCAGGCGTCTTCGGATGCTCAAGAACAGTTGGAAATTCTCCTAGCAGGTTCTGGGCAGTCTGGCTCCATGACCGACGAGGAACAGTCTGACGTGGATGAGGCGATCAAGCGCTTGCAAGGCCTGATGTCTACCGCAGAAGAGGCAGTAACAGCGGCTTCTGGGTTTAGCGAGTCTCTACAGGAAGATACTGATTCACTTTCCCAGAAGCTCAGAGAATTACCTCCAGGAGCCCCCAAACCGCCCGCAGTACAGCAGCTTGCTGCTGATATAGAGTCAGACTTGGGAGCGTTGCATGGTTACTGCAAGGACGCTGAAAGTGCAATAAAAGAACTGCAAGCTGCATCTGGTAGCCCAACCCAGTACGGCTGGTTTCTACTGAAGATGGCGGATCAAGAGACGAATGAGCAGCAGCAACCCACCTCGGAAACTGTCGCCGCTGCAGTGGTAGCAGCAAGTATAGTGCTGGGCGGCACCCCGCCTGAGCTACAGGTCACTTGCCCTAAAGCAAAGCGCCAGCTTGGTGCGATAGCAGATAGAACGCATTCAGAGCTCGAACACTGGCGTGAATTGCTTGGGAGTCCCACTTTCCTTGGCGGTCCCTCGCATATGGTGACGGTGCAGCTGGGATCAGCATCAGGAACAGCTCGCAGAGGACGGCGCGTGGCGCTGGGGATGAAAACGCTCCAGATGCCGGAGCAAGCTGAACAGTTGGAAGCCGGATGTAAGCTGCTGGAGGCCCAAGTAAGTAGTGCGCGGCAACAGCATGAGGATCGCCGCAAGCAGGAGCAAGAAACGCTCCGGCGTCGCCGGGAGCGTATGCAGCGTCACGAGAAGGCATTGACTGCACAGTGGGACGCTGAAAGCATAACAGAGCAGATTCTTGTTGTGGTCGGCTCGGCTAGGGGTGCTGCTTCACGGGGACCTTCCGGGACGTATGGCGATCGCACGGAAGCCGAGGGCATTTACCTGAAGCTCGCTTCATGCATGTCAACGGCAGGGGAGCTTGATAAAGAACTTCTGCAAGGCACTGAAGCAGGCAAGAACCTGGAAGAAGCTTTAAAAGCTGCTGATGATGAAATGCAAAAGCTTAAAGACTTTCTCCGCGGCATATGGGCAGATATTATGGAGACACTTACACAGGCCACGGTGTCAGCGACACAGGCATTACAGACTGCCTGCGCGCAGCTCGGCGCCGAAGCGGGAGGCTCAGAAGATGCAGCAGAAAAAGCACCACCGCCTCCATCAGCAAGTGACGGTGCTCCAAGTGTCTTCCCTCCTTCTGAGGAGAAAATCTTACGAGGTATGGAAAGGCTGCTCACAACCGTTGGGGGCGTACAGAAACAGAAAGAACGGTTGGACGGCCTATTGAAGGCCCACCCCCCTCACAAAAGCCTCACGGAAAAGCTAAAGGATCTGGATGAAGCCCTCAGTGTCGCCCTAGGAACAGGACAAACCACTACAGAGTTGCTGTTGCAGACCTGGATAGGGTCCGTCGATGAAGCACTAGGAGCCGAGGCCGCGGCAAAAGAAGAGCTTAAGGCGGCGCAAAAGAATGAACAAGACAAGAAGTCAGGTTCAAAGGAGGAGCGTTTACAAGCAACAAATGAAAGGGCTCGGCAGCAGGAAGTGGTTGACGAAGCAACAAAGCGGAGGCGCAGAGAATCACATAAAGTTGTAGTAGGAGCCTCCATCTTCATCGGGTTCTCTTTGCCCACTTCAGCTGTTGAAGCGCTGCAGTCCACCGCGGCTGCTGCAAGGGCCCCGCTTGTCCCTGGTCATTTTACTATACCTAGCCTACGCAAAGCCCCTCAGGTAGGAATTCCCGAAGAAATCGAAATCCCCCGCACGAAGCATATAAAACTCCCGTCGCAGCCTAGTCCCGACTTGCCGACAACGGGTGGCCCTGTGCACCCTCCTGCTGCTGCTGGTCCTTCGGATGCTGGGCTTCCTCATCCTCCGCCTTCTGGGCCTTTAGTCAAGAAATTTGGGAAGGGTGTTGCTGACGGTGAAAAGGACCCTCTGGGCTCTGTTTCTTCTCTGTTGAGTTTGCTTGGGAACGGTCCTGTCGATGATGGCGACTCTGTTTTGGACTTCATGGGGGACGGCGTCTCGGAAAGCGAGAAGAAGATGGAAGAGATGGTAGTAGGAGGAGCTGCATCGGCTGCTGCTGCTGCTGCACTCGGTGGCACGTCTTCGGGAACAAAGGGTAGAAAGCGCAGAGAAAGCCCATTTGGCACAGGCTCAAGGTGGAGAAAACCGTCAGTGAAGTCAGGAAAAAAAGATAAAACAGGATTATCAGAGGGAGACAAGCCGGCCGACAAAGATACGGAACATTTGCCGTCGCGAGGCTCGCAGACCTCAGGCGTGCCGAAAGGCAGCGAAGGTCAGGGGACACAAAAAGGCAAGAAGAAATCAAGCGATAAAGGCGTCAAGAGGAGCTCCTCTTTTGGTGGGCCTCTTGGCGGCAACACACCGTCACTTGAGTCAATGAAGAAGGCAAGTAGCTGCGAGGGAGGCCTTCCAGTGGGAGATCCTGCCGAAGCGCCCAAATCGAGGAGGCAGAGCATGTTGAAGGTGTTTGTCGGTGCCTTTGGAGGGACGCCGAAACGCGCAGGCTCCCTCCCGCGCCTACGAACACCAGCGGCACAACCAACAGCACCAACAGGAGTAGCACTAACAGAAACAGAAGGTGCACCAAGTGGAGCCCCACCAGACGAAGCAGGAGGAGCACCAAGAGAACGAACATCAGCATCCGGAGGACCCTGCGAAGAGGGGGAAACAGAGAAGCAAAAGACACAGGAGCCTCAACAACCTGCTGATACTGACGAAACCAAGGGCAGAAGCAAAAGGAAGGGCAGCAAGAAGGTACCAAAGCCTGGCAAAGATTAACGTGAAGGCAAAAGCCACTGAGATGAACCCGAACTGAATGGCAACAGAAGCAGCAGCATCAGCAGCATCAGCAGCATCAGCAGTAGCAGGTAGAGACCTAAGCTTGTTCATGAGAGATTGTGTAATGAGCATTCCCCACTCCTCGTGGTAGAAATGCCTTGGCCCTTGACACATACTTCAACAACATGAGGATTGGCGGCTGCTTCACTGGGCGGCTGAGTAGCTGGCCAGCTAGCTAGCTTGGTACCTATCAGAGTAGGCGTGCTAGAAAAAAAAATGCTGAAGGCGCCATAGGTTGCGCCGGCACCATTTTAGTGGTTGCAGCTAAGAGGTTCTTCCCGCTGTGCTTTTCTTGGAAGCAGCACCGCTAGCTGCAGCAACCGGTTCAGCAGCTACAGCTAAAGCAACAGCAGCCCCAGCAGCAGCACCACCCGCAGCGGCAGCAGCGCCACCCACAGCGGCAGCAGCACCACCCGCAGCGGCAGCAGCAGCACCCGCAGTGGCAGCAGCAGCACCCGCAGTGGCAGCATTTCCCCCCCGAGCTGCAGCAGCACAACACCCAGCTGCAGCAGCACCACCCCCAGCTGCAGCAGCACAACACCCAGCTGCAGCAGCACCACCCCCAGCTGCAGCAGCACGACTAGCATCTGCACCGTCACCACCAGCAGCTGCAGCAGCACCACTAGCATCTGCAGAATCACCACTAGCAGCTGCAGCAGCTCCATCAGCGGCTGCAGCAGCACCACCAGCAGCTGCAGCAGCACCACCCCCAGCTGCAGCAGCACCACCACCAGCTGCAGCAGCACCACTAGCATCTGCAGAAGCACCACCCCCAGCTGCAGCAGCACAACACCCAGCTGCAGCAGCACCACCCCCAGCTGCAGCAGCTCCACCAGCAGCTGCAACAGCACCACTAGCAGCTGCAGCAGCACCACCCCCAGCTGCAGAAGCACCACCCCCAGCTGCCGCAGCGCCCCTAGCAGCTGCAGCAGCACCACCACCAGCTGCAGCAGCACCACCCGCAGCGGCAGCAGCACCACTAGCAGGCACGGCAGCACCACTAGCATCTGCAGAAGCACCACTAGCAGCTGCAGCAGCTCCACCAGCAGCTGCAGCAGCACCACCCCCAGCTGCAGCAGCACCACTAGCAGCTGCAGCAGCACCACCCCCAGCTGCAGCAGCACCACTAGCAGCTGCAGCATCACCACTAGCAGCTGCAGCATCACCACTAGCAGCTGCAGCATCACTGCAGCAGAACCGTAAGCAGCTGCAGAAGCTTCACCAGCAGCTGCAGCAGCAGCACCACCAGCTAGAGCAGCTCCACCAACAGCTGCAGCAGCACCACCCCCAGCTGCAGCAGCACCACTAGCAGCTGCAGAAGCACCACTAGCAGCTGCAGAATCACCACCCCCAGCAGCTGCAGCAGCTCCACCCCCAGCTGCAGCAGCACCACTAGCAGCTGCAGAAGCACCACCCCTAGCTGCGGCAGCTCCACCCGCAGCGGCAGCAGCACCACTAGCAGCTGCTGCAGCTCCACCCCCAGCTGCAACAGCTCCACTAGCAGCTGCAGCAGCACCACTAGCAGCTGCAGCAGCACCACCCCCAGCTGCAGAAGCACCACTAGCAGCTGCAGCAGCACCACTAGCAGGCACGGCAGCACCACTAGCATCTGCAGAAGCACCACTAGCAGCTGCAGCAGCTCCACCAGCAGCTGCAGCAGCACCACTAGCAGCTGCAGCAGCACCACTAGCAGCTGCAAGAGCACCACTAGCAGCTGCAGCAGCTCCACCAGCAGCTGCAGCAGCACCACTAGCAGCTGCAGCCGCACCACCCCCAGCTGCAGAAGCACCACTAGCAGCTGCAACAGCACCACTAGCAGGCACAGCAGCACCACTAGCATCTGCAGAAGCACCACCAGCAGCTGCAGCAGCTCCACCAGCAGCAGCAACAGAACCACTAGCAGCTGCAGCAGCACCACCCGCAACGGCAGCAGCAGCACCCCCAGCTGCAGCAACACGGCTAGCAGCTGCAGCAGAGCGGCTAGCAGCTGTAGCAGCACCACTAGCAGCTGCAGCAACACCATCAACAGCTGCAGCAGCATCACCAGCAGCAGCTGCTGCAGGTACTGCAGCAGCGCCATCGGCAACTTCATCCACCGCTGCTGTTGATTTCCAGAGGATTAGAGGAGCACAGTGTATAGAGGTTTTGTGCCGCTATGTTGTGGCATCTTTGGCAGCAAGAAAGATTCATCTGGATGGTTGGCTATTTGTGGCAGCAGCTCTTGTTTTTCTCCCTGTACTCTGCGCTTGTCTCTCGGATTTTGTTTGGAACCTGTTTTTCCCTACTGCAGTTTCTCTCAAAGACCCGGAAGGCCTCAGCAGCTGGGAAGTTTTGGTCATTGCTCTGTCAAAGCATCACAGATGCCCAGAGGCAGCAAAGTAAGCAATTCACTTGGAGTGCAAAAACTCGCACGACCTACACACAAAGCACAATATTAGGGTAGGTGCATGCCATGCCTTACATGGAAGGCATGCAAAAGAAGTACTATGTATCAATATTCATTCAGTCATGAGAAGCTGAGTTTCACAGAGAGCCTACACTCACACGTGCGCGTTGGTTTATGCGTTCTGGCTTCTAGTTTCCCAAGCGCATGCCCATGCATGAGCAGCAGTAGAGGGAGGCATTGTTTTTGTTTACATAGGAGTAGGCGCATACTCTTTGAAAAGATTTAAAAACTCCTGCTGCAGCACCTGGAAGCCGCATACTATTGGCAGCTTGCCCCGTTTCTCGCGAAGGAGTTCAAGGAAATTCATGCGTGGAAGATACCACGAGAAGGAACCAAAGGCTCACTGCAAGTGAAAACTAAGCATAGGTATTGGATGCAATGCGGCTTCGGTCGTGAGTTATGTGACAAGAGAGAAACCGCAGGGTTGCGGCATTCGTTCAGTTGGGTTCCATGGGTATAGGGGCGGTGCCTGCTACAATGGGAAAGTGGGTCGGCGTATCCCGTTGGCATTGCAACAGCTGCGCCTGGCTCTGACGGTGAATTGAAATACGTTTTTTTTGTATTGCACCAGGAGGATTCTTTACTTGATGGGGTAGCAGGTGCCTTCCCCAAACAAAGGTCTGCGTTGCTTTCAAGTTTTGCTCGTTCGCAACTTTCCTGGGGTCCTAGTCTTACATCTGTCGCATCTTCGATTCAATCTTTTGCTGCTTTGTGCATTGAGGGCGGCATCCAGTGCTCTGTGCGCGTAGTTCCCCGCTATCTAATTACCCGAACTTCACTCTATCGCTATGCGATTCTTCAAAGCATGTCCCTCCTTGGCTTCCCTGCCTGCACAGGTGCCCTCATATTCCCCAAGAATGAATTGATTTTGAGGCCCCTGGGCCATGGCAACAGCACATGGAAGCACCCTAGAGTGCCAGTCTCAGTGTGCATTTTTGCGGCCCCTGCACCAGCGCCACAACAAGTGGTGGGCCCCACAACCACCTCAGTGCACTCCGTTTATTGGTGTAAAATTTGAGGAAATTAAATCACACTGAATATGGCAATGGCGTATACTAGTACATCTTTCCGCTTCGGTGTGCCATTCCATCGTGCTGCGGGAATGTTCTCATCCGAGTTGTCAAAATGAACGATGCCTCATATTCAACCGTTACAATGCAGCATTTTTTCACATCCATCATCCTACATTTACAAGCTGAGTGGTGGCCTAAAGCTCCAGGACGCTCAACAACTTGCCCGCCGCCGCAGCCTTCTCGAGTGGCTGCAGAGCGAGCCACTCCAGAAATGAGCCACAAGGCGCAAGCCACAAGCTCTTGCGCACCAGGCATATAGAGGACACAGCCAGATTAGCAAAGCTGTAAGATTCGAAGTAGCAGACACAAATAGCTTGCACGATACATATTCCCCAGCAGGCCAACGGGAACGGGAAGCCCGGTCTCGCTAGTTGCCAGAGGTGGGTGAAGACCACCTTTACCAGAAAAGTAAGAAGTCCGTCAATGGGTTCAATAACCTGCAATGTTCTATGTATTTCGAGCAACCCGTGTATTATAATTAAGCCTAGACCATAAAATATACTTTTTATACCTGGCCAGTGTGTGCAGGCACAACTGCTCAGGAACAGGTAATTTAGAGTCTTGCCTGGCTGGCATCACTGTACTGCGCGCGCTCGCCGTTCCGTGCAGGGTGTCTTATTGATGGGGAAGCATCATCACTTTTTAAGAATTCATTTTTTCTGCATTGGTTGCTATCTTTTATTCTTTGTAGGGCGTGCGGGAAGCATTGCATTTGATCGTAAGATGTTTCGCGCTCCTGCTGTTGCTGCTGCTGCAGCGTACCTGACCATATCGGTGCTAGAGGGGGCCAGTGCTGGCCATCCTCATGGTCAGGAAGTTCCTTTCCAGCCAGTTATTGAACATGGAGTTGGAAATGGAAAAGTACACAGACATATCGAACCGACGCAGCTCAGGCCAACCTTTGCCCTAATCCGCTCCCTGTTTGGCGGTGGGCTTCTCATGGCGCTCTGTTTGGGATTCTTTTTTCTGCTGAGATCCACTCGTAGTTTTGCGTTGTTCCAGAAAGGAGTTAAAGAAGAAGGTAGACGGCGTGCTTCCGAGGAGGCACAAACTGGTGATGATGGAAGAGAGGATGAGGAAGGCAAGACGGCTCGTGCCGGAGGTCAGGGAGCTGCTTTGGATGCTCAGGGGAGCATCGTGAACGAAGCCGATACACTCAAAGCAATAGATTACCCACCGGCAGATGACCCTGTCACTTTGGGGCTGCAAGAAGTGCAGTCCCGGATCGGACAGATGGAGACGGTTCTTAAGTGGATTGCAGAGGCTGAGGAGTCAGGTAGAAGTGTCGACAGCACAGGCGAATCCCTTGGACACCGGCTGCGCCTAGGATTCCAATACCGCCAGAAGAACAGAAACGCTGAATTTGAACCTTCGGTTCCTGAAGAGCAGGTATCGAAGTTCAAGAGCCTCGTAGGCGAAATTGAGCAGACTCTGGGACGTCACTATGGCCGTGGCAGGTGGGGTTTATTTGCTGAGAGCCTTTGCTGAGGCGTGGGTAGTAGAATGTGCCTCGGATCAACAACGATTAGTGCTTGACAGACATCAATATCCCTATATGGGGCTTGCATCCAACGGGCTGTATGATCTAGGGGAAGAGCAAGTGCAGCATTTGAGGTTACCTACGAACGAAGGGCGATTTATTCGGTCTTTTTGTGGCGCTTCTGCGTGGTTTTGCAGGTAGGAAAGTCGCACAGATCCAGGAATGGAGGTGAAGCATTGAGGTTGACGGCGCTTGGATGCCGGGGCACGGCTGGTAGCAGAAGGATCTGCACGGCTGCTAGGTGAAGGTGATAGCAGAGCGTGGCTGCAAGAAGCCGAACAAGGTTGTGGAGGAGCGCTTGGCCCAAAATGATCTGTAGTTTTGAAGGGCGAGCTGGGTCGGGGAGGCAGTGCAGCACCAGTCATGGCTGGTGATGCTGGCCCAGGAACGGCAGCGTTCGAATGGTAGTTGAATGCATGCGTGCATGCATGCATTAGACTGCGCAGGTAGGGCCTATGGGGGGAGAGAGCTTCGCCTTTTAAGAACGGTTGTTGGGATGCGGTGGACCTGCTGCCTGAGTTCTGTTCCCGAAAGTTTGAATGATATCTTTGATATGATGACTCGATTCAATTTCCACGGCGGCCAGTTCTGACGAGCAGCGTGAAGCGACGCATGCATACTGTTGCCCAGGCTGCCGCCGTAGATCCAAGTGCAGACTTCAGTAGTTGTTTTACTGACATTTTGCTCTAAGTGTTGAACAACAGCAGCATCACCAAGAGCACCCGTAGGTAGGTGCGACGGTGCGTACTGTGCAGTTTGCAGTCTCGAGGCTTCGTGGCATAGGTGGTTCTGAACTTAACATATTCTTTACAGGGTAGGGGCTAGCAGGCCCAAAGCGAGATAGTTAGTCATGGGGAGTGATTAGTAGGGGTTATAGGTTCAAAGGGTCGAGGACATAGCCAGCTACCACCACCACTTTTTTCGGTAGCATCTTCGCAGCCAGCAGTAGCTTCTCGCCACACCCCCTTTGGGTGGGCAGCACCACCAGCTGCAGCGGCTTCTGCCATCGCTGTTGGTGGTTACCAGTGGATTAGAGGTGCTCAGTGAAGGTTCTTTGTTGCTACTTGGCGGCGTGTTCAGCAGCAGAGGGTTCAGATACATGTTCTGCAGCAACAGCCGCTGCCTCCTCCTTTTGTCCGCCTGCGCGTCTAGAATTTTGTTAGGAGCCTGTGACTGTGGCATCGTAGTGTGGCGAGGAAACCCACACAAACACCAACGAACCTGCAAAAAACCTGTTGGCAGCTGACAAATCGCGACTACTTCTCTTCGAGCAAGCATCGCAGGCCTCTAGAGGCAACATGACAAGCATTCACTTGCCCAGTGGAAGAAACCAAACGTTCTGCATGCAATACTCAATTTGCAATCTAGAAGCAGTCGCCTACGCCACCTATTTTTGGAAGGACTACGGAAGCGGTACTGTGAAAGAGCACGGCGCACCGATGCGCATTCAACAATGAGAGGCTCAGGTGTACAAAGAGCCTGAGACCCTGGATGTACATTTATGTTTAAGAACTGGCAGCCAATTTGGCAACTGCTTAGCTGTGTTCCTGGTGTGGCTCCGGCGAGCGCATACAACCCGTTAAGAAGCTGCTGGCAGCTGACAACTTGCTGTTGCGTCATTTGTTGAACGCACGGTAGGCACCTGGAGGGTGCAAAGCAAACATATCGCTTGACGAGTTGAAAAACCCACACGATCCACTGGCAGCACGCCATCTGCAGCCTAACGTTATATGCATCTGCAAGGAGATCATGGAAGGTGTGGGTAAGCGCTACTCTGAAGGAGTACCGTCCATCGATGTGGAATCACTACGAACGTGCATTCACCAGGTGTACGAAGAACCGAAACCCAAGCATGTGCATTTGTCTGTGTGAACTGGCAGCCAGTTCCCGAATTGCGTGTCCATGGATGTGCAGCCTATAGAAAGGTAGTGAGAGGCAATCTTTGTTCAGTGTAGGCGGAACTTGCAAATGGAAGGTTTGAAACACTTGGCGCAACACGTCAAGAAATTCTTGCCAGCCAGTGGCATTTCTCGCGGAGGAGTGAAAAGAAATGCAAGCAGGAGAGCTTTGAAGGGCAGCAGCTAATGCTGCGTGCGTGTAATTTACTCCTGCATACAAAAATTTAGCCTGCCGTTCACCTTGTCGCAATGCAGGTCTCCTACGTACTTACGTCTCCTTGCCAACCACCGTGTCAAACACCTTGATATTCCCTTTGGGGCAATTGATTCGAGGGCTCCTCCTAGGACATTGATACTCTACCAAACACTGCCGATTACGAAAGAAACAAAGTAAATACGAAATTCACATTCCTTTAACTAGAAGGTAACTGGAATTCCCTTTACTCTGGCAGTGATTCCACTTCTCTCTACATTCAAGCCAGGCTGGGTGGGTACGACGCTTCTTACTGGCCTAACTTTTAGCAGGGTTTTGGAAATGAACGATTACAACGGCAAATCCAGGTGGAAGAGCACAAAGGGACCTCTTCCCCAATCCCGATCGCTCTGGGGGTGGGGCCTTCTCCTAGCACTTTCGGTGGGTATAGGCTGGCTCCTAAAGTCCATCGTTGGTCTTGCCTCGTCCCATAAGAAAGTTGGAGAGGTTCTTTCTGGCGGCAGGTATTCAGCAGAAGACTCCGAAGGAATCAGCGGCCAGGCCACCAAAGTTGTGAGTTACCGTCGCTGGAGATCTTCAAATGCTACTCAAGGCGCCGAAAATTGATTGCCTACCGGCATATCCCCCTGTTACTCTGAGTCTAGAGGGAACGCATTCCAGAATCTCCCGGTTGCAGGAGGTACTTCAGCGGATAGGAGAGGCTGAGGAATCAGGGACGGTTGTTGACAGCGCAGGTGGAGTTCTCGGCCATCGGCTGCATCTGGCATATGAATGTCGCCAAAAGAACAAAAACGCTGAATTTGAACCTTTTGTTTCTGAGGAACAGATTTCGCTATTAAAGAAACCCGTCCAAGCAATTGAGGAAGCGACTGAACGACACTATGGCTACCGGAAACCATTGATTGTATCGCAGGAGGAAAAGGTGAGCAGGCTCCGCCATAATACACTCCTGAATGCAGCTCAATTGAGTAGTTTTTGCCGATGATAGAACATAATTGGAGCAACGCCCTCACTTATACAAACAAAATGTTGAAAATAAGCGAATTCTTGCAGAAGGCACCACGCAGAGCGAACGCAACAGCAGGCCAGCCTCAAGCCGGTGTGACAGGCGCGAGTGATAACCTGGCAAGCGTAAAAAACCACAGGACACAGGATGTTCTTCGCGCTGGGATATTTACAGTTTTTCCAAATCATTCTGGATAAAAACCTAATGAATACGACATCCATGCCGCAACTCGACGCTAACTGGGGGGCCTGGCTGGCGAGTTGTCGGGAACGCCCCTCGCAACAGCAAAGAGAACAAACCTCTCTAAAGTAGGGAAAGTTTGCAGTATCTCTCGTATAACAAGCAATTCTTGCACTAATGGCAACCAAGTACAATAAAATAGGCCTTTTCGCCAGGCTAACCGATGGTGGTCCACCTGTTGTCAAGAGCGACATCCTGGTTGACCTTTTGCAGAGGAACCCAGCAACGTCGAGCGTCTTGTATATGTGAGGGTACCATCACGTTTCTAACGAGTACTTCAGCGGGTCATGCATTCTCCTTCATTACTTTTTATTTGGGGGGCGTCTGTAGGGTATTATGCAAGGTCATTATTAATGTTGCGTGCAGTCCCAATAACGCTAATCCCTGTCTCGTGCAGAGTTGCCATACATAACGATTCTTTCTACCGTCAAGCTAGAAAGTTGTCAGTGGGAAGGAAAACTTACATTAGGCCAGCTAGTACAAACGAACCCTGAATTATTATTAACTGCGGACCAGAAAACATACTTTGTAGCTGGTGCAGCTGCTGCGAAACGAGTCAGCACGCTGCTGTTCCCCTCTTTTGAGGGGGGCGCTCAGGACCGTCGAGTGTCTTGTATTTGGGAGCGCAGTCACACATCAAACAAGTGTTTCGACAGACTATTCATTCTTCCCTATTTGCATTTTGTTTAGTACGCATTTGTACGGCATTTTACAAGGCCATTAGGAATGTTGCGTGCTCTTACTTTTGCTGCTTGGGCAGCATATCTGACCATCCCGCTGGCCGAGGGCGGCGGTGGTGCCGATCTCCTTGGCCAAGAAGTTCCTTCCAAATCTACCTTCCCGCATGGTGTTGGAAACGAACAATTACAACAATATCTCCAAGGGAAACAACCAAAAAAAGCCTCTCTTGCGATCCTCCCGGCGTTGGGGGTAGGGATTTTCGCTGCGCTCTCTATGGGGTTGAGTCTGGTACTAAAATCGATTCTTCGTTTCATCTCTCGGAAGGTGGGAGGCAATGTTCCTTCTGGCAGTTGGCATTCTTCAGGAGGAGCCGAAGAAATTAACGAAGAGGCGGCTGAAGGCGTGAGTTCCCCTGGGTGGAGTTCTGCAGAGGTTGATCCCGGCGCCACAAGCACAACAATCGAATCTGTACCAGCATACAACCCCAGTGTTCTGGGTTCAGAAGAAGTGCAATCCAGAATCGACGAAATGGAGCTACTGCTTCAGCGGATAAAAGAGGCAGAGGATTCAGACAACAATCTTGATAGCACAGGTATGACCTTTGAGCGCCTGTTGCAGCAGGCAAACTATTACCGCCAGCATAATGAGAACGCCGACTTTGAACCGTCCGTTCCTGAAGAACAGATTTTAAAGTTCAGGGAACTTCTTCAATACCTTATTGACGCTATCATGCTTCACTATGGCCCCGACAGGTGTGTCTACATTTTTAGAGACCAATTGATGTGGAATGCAGAACTGTGAATGACTCACCTTAAATACGACTAGTGATTGACGGTCTTGTAGATGGGAAAGAGCAGTTTGCAGTAATCAAGTCGTAATATTTATGGAAAGTGCCGGCCAGTTCACTTTGTTCTTTTTGCTACGCTTGAATTGCACTGGATTGCAGGTAGGAAAGGAGTAAGGTATTAAGACAGTACACCAACGACTTTTCTGGACAAGGCTTGAATGTCGCGGGCATGGAAGACTTGCTTCTAGAGGAGGAGTCTGCAAGGACTCTGGGTAAAGGTGACAGCAAGGCCTTGCTGCATGAAACCGAACACATTTATGAAGTAGTTTTTGATGTCTAATGTTTAATAAGGTTGAAGGGCGGGTTGGGTCGGGAGTGCAATTGCAGCACCAGGCTTCCCCGTCGATGTTGTTATAGGAGCCACAGGCTTCGAATGGTATGAGTGAATATACTCATTAGATGGCGCAGGTAGCGTCTATGGCAGCAAAAAGCTTTGCTTTTTAAGAGCGACTGCTAAGCTGCATTGGACATGTTAGCTGATAGTTCCGTCGCCTAACGCCTGAAGGATATTTTTGAGCTGATGGCCTTCTCTACTGTTCGCGAGGACCAGTTCTGGAGAACAGCGTAGAGATAGGCATGCATGCTGTTGCTGATGCTGCCGTAGCAGACCCAAATGTAGACTTAAGTGGAAATTTCACCGGCATTTTGCAGAACAACAGCAGCAGAAGCAGCAGCACCCGTAAATACCGTCGCCGTCAGTGCGGGGAGGGGCTGCGGGGACGATAGCTTGTAGTTTGTAGTCTCCAGTCGTCGCGCTAGAGGTTTTTCTGTTCGTAAAATAGACAAGATAACGACTAGCAGGCCCGCTAGCTAGCTAGTCACGTGGCGTGCATAGTATGTTTGGTTGATTCAAAGGGCCGAGAAAAGCCAGATACCATCACCACAGGTTTCGGCAGCGTCCTACAGCTACACCGCTTTTAGAAGGAGTAGCACCAGCAGCCGTGGTGGCCGTGTGCACTTGCTCTTGCTTGTGCACAGTGAAACAGAGCTTCTCAGGAATTGATGGTCCGTTGCTGCTACCTTGCGGCATCTTTAGCTGGAAGGGAGCTCACCTACATGCTTTGCAGCACCCTCTATTTTCTTCTTTTGCAGCCCTGAGCAGACGTGGCGAACAGAGCCTCATGGCACCCTCCCGCCACCGGAAACTATTGATTTTATCGCACGGGGAAAAGGTGAGCAGGCTCAGCCACAATACACTCCTGAATGCAGCTCAATTGAGTAGTTTTTGTCGATGATAGAACATAATTGGAGCTACGCCCCCACGTATACAAACAAAATGTTGAAAATAAGCGAATTCTTGCAGAAGACACCACGCAGAGCACACACGCAACTGCAGACTAATCGCCAGCCGGGCGAGAGACAACATGACAAGTGGAAAAAAAGGCACAGGAAACAGTATATCCTGCTCGCTAGGATATTTATAGTTTACCAAATCATTCTGGATAGAAGCCTAATGAAGACGATATTCATGCCCCCGCAACTCGACGGTAACGGGAACTGGCTCTGTCGAACCGCCAGAGGCAGCTCTCCTCGTTAGAGGAGGGAGGAAAACACCGTCTAAAGTAGAGAAAACCTGCATTATCTTAGGTATCACTGGAAATTCTCTCATTACTATTAGTCATGGATAAGAAAATATACTTCTTTCCCCGGCCTAGAGAAGGGCTGCTGCTGCTTAACCGGTGGGTAGTTGGTAATCCTGCTTCTCACTCTCCTGGCGCTCACCGAGCGCTGCTCCGAGTGTCTTGTCCACGCTGGGAAACCATCACATTTTGAACAAGTATTCCCAAATACTATTAATTCCTTTCTATTTCTTTTTTATTCACTACTGTTTTTAAAGGCATTTCGCATGCCCATTGAAGATGATGCGTACTGCTGCTTTTGTTGCTCTCGCAGCATATCTGACCATCTCAGAGGTGCGGGGCACCAGTGCCGCCGATGTCCAAGACCACAAAGCTTCTTCCTATCCTAGTTTTGCGCATGGCGTTGGAAATGAACAGATGCAACAGCATATTGAAGAGGCAGAATCCAAAAGACCCGCTAGAGGTTTCCGTGCTCCTTGGGTTCTTACTCTCGTCGTTGCAGGACTTGGCGCCGGTTTGCTTTTGCTGGTGAAATCCGTGCTTAGTCATACCCGTTCCGGGAAGAAGGCTAGTCAGGGTGAATGGGAAGTGCTCGAGGAGGCAAAAACTGGTGGTGATCAGCGTGGAGGTGAGGCAGAAGAGGAAGAACCTTCTGACGTTTGGCAGACTGCAGAGGGCTTCGAAGGAGCTGACCAAATGGCTCTTAAAGGCGACGATTACGAATTTTGGGAAGGTCGAATGAAAGATCTCTTGAAAGGGAAAGCCCCCCCAGATGGGTTGTGGCCTTTCGAACCTCCATATTCCCCTGTTACTATTGGAGTAGAAGAAACGCTTTCGCGGATCGATAGGATGCAGAGACTTGCCCAGTGGGTGAGGGAGGGATTCGAATCAGGGACTGTGACTGATAGTGCTGGCGGAATCCTCGGCCATCGCGTGCGTGAGGCCCGAGCTGTTCAGCAGCAGAACAAGAATGTACAATTTGATTCGTCTGTTCCTGAGGAGCTGGCTGAGAAGTTTCGGGATTGTGTTGGACTTCTTGAGAAGATTGTTGAATTTTTCGTTGTGTATTACAGGTGGGTCTACATTTGCAGAGTGCATTTATTGCTGTGGAGAGGACAGTTGAAAGTGCCTCTATCTACTTACTGTTAGACAGCCTTCCAGCTCGCGATGGCGAGTTTGCATTGAACAGGTCCGAATTAGGCATACTGCAGGTACAGAATTGAATATAGCCGACAAGCGGAGGGCAACTCATTTTCTTCTGTGGTGTGATTTGCTTGTTTTGCAGGGGTGGTTGAGGTGGACGGGCGAAGAGATGGTGCGCAGCGGGCTGCTGGTCAGAGGACGCCAGAGCAGTAGGAGTTATTATTGAGGTGTTGAAGATTCCGCTGCTGGAGCGAGCAAAGGCTGGCTTTCGGTGATAGTTTCTGCAGGGTGGCTGGACATAAACAATAGGATGCAAGTGGACGGCTGAAAGCCGGGGGATTCAATTGCATTCAAACATTCAAGATCCAGTAGATAGCCCTTCAAAATTATGTTGTTGTTGTTCAAATACTTTTTAACCCGCCCGTTCGATTGTACTCGTGCACTCGAACACAGCTAACTGCCGTTGTCCTGCAGTGGGCCGGCGACTTGCTAGTAGTGATGATTCAATTTGAAGGGAATCTGTTGACGATTTAATGTTTTTCCCTGTGAGGGTGGGTTTTGAACAGCCGCATGCAGCATGTAGCGGTGCAGCTCCCTTGCTGACACCGCATAGTAAGCAGAAAGGGAACTGCGTGGGTGCTTCACACATATGTTGTCTACCCTTCGAGAAGCTCTGGCAGATCATCGACGTTGCGTATGATGCTCGAGAACGGGGTGGCATAGCTGTCGGTAGAGAGTAGTCAATGTCTGCCTATGAATAGAAGGGCATATCCGCAATTCTCTTACCTCTTGAAATTCTCACATATCTACTCCTTCATTACCCTTGCTTGCCCTTGATTCAGCTTTTCTTAACATTCGCCTAAAGCTCATCTAGTTGCACTGTTAAAGGCTTCAGCTGATAAATCGGTGCCAAGCGCAACGCAGACGGTTCGGTAGTGTTCATCTGACGAGCAGTTCGAAGCCTTAACCACAAGCGTTCAAAAGATAATGCATTATCCCGACGTTTGTAAACATAAACATACCTTACAGAACGCTTCCTGCTCCTTCGATCAAGCTAACGATGTGTATGTTGGCATTTCACACATGACGCATCTGAATGTACAGCTCTCGGAAACGTGAATTATTTAAGGGGACGTCCAGACTATCTAAAGAAAGCTAGAAGGTTAGTAGTGTGTACCATGGTTCGTCCGGTATCATATCTTATATATCTTCTTTACCAGCCACTGGTATGTACGGTGCTTCCCTGCTGCGGTGGTGGTGTTCGTCGCTTGCACTTGTATCAATGAAATGAACAACCATGTGAGGCTATCACATGTTTGTTCATTGCAGCACTCAAAGACCCTCGGATAATATTGAGATCCCTCAATATTATCCGAGGGTCTTTGTGAGCTGCAACAAAGCTGAAGGTCTTAAGACCCCGGGGTTTCTTCGAAATGAATATCTGAAAACTTGAACGAAGGCTATCTGGGGTTTAGAAGCGCCAGGAAGCCTCCCCTCTACTCATAGAATTTAATGTTACGCTACTTACAACTCTTGATTTTATATATATATATATATATATATATATATATATAACTAAAGTCTTCGGGTTGTATTGCTGCGTACCGTCGTATCGTAATATGTAAGACGACTATTGGAGCTAAGAGACTGTAACAGGCTGCTTAGATTAAGTATTAGTATAGACTCAAATAAACTTCTGAGGTGTTACTGTGCAAAGCAAACATAGGTGCCTCTTCTGCTGTGGTAGGGATGCTGCTAGTTATGAGTTGCAGTGTACCTATACCCAACTGATGCTGAGAAGGAGCGCCTCGTGCATGCAGAAGGAAGCCCCATTTGCAATCGACACTAACACTTTTAAGAGTTGTTTTAAGCTGAATTAATCCTCTATGACTATCCTGGGATCTTCTAAAAGGAAAGGGCCCCGTGTTATGATGCTGCTACGGTGTATACTGCACAAGCTCTCTTCTAATGCTTGTTTTAATTGTACAAGAGCTCAAGATATTTGTTATAAACACCTCCTGAGCACCCGATAGTCATCCTTATCAAAGGGATTATCCATCGAACATCTTCTTATTGGCTCCCTCTTATTTTTCATCTGACTCCAACATGGGTTTGTGCATTAGGCTGTGTGTGAGGCGCCTTAACTATGACAATGCATATATATATATATATATATATATATATATATATATATATAT